AGTGAGCTGAGCAAAGCACTGACCAGGGGGGTGAAAGCGGCCACAAGGGTGGCCCCGACGAGGACCTGTCAGAACCTGATAGGTGCAGGGAGGGTAAGCAGCACCACGCTGGGGCTGACGCAGCCCCGACCCCGGAGCCAGCTGCTGACGCTGCTGCTGCTGAGGCTGCTGGGAGGAGAGGGGCTGCTGCTGCTGCTGAAGCCGCTGCTGACGCTGAGCCTGGTACCACGCCGCTGCTCCACCTAGCGGGGCCGGCAGTACAGGAGACGACTGACGAGCTCGGGTGTCGCCACCACCAGCAGGCGCAGTGGAGTCACCAGCCGCTGCACGAGAGGTCTCTCCAGACGCTGCACTCCCACCACCGCCAGTCGCAACAGCACCCCCACTACCTCCGCTACCTCCGCCTCCACCTCCACCAGAACCACCTTTCTTGCCCCCCTTGCCGCGGGACCGCGACGCAGTCGTAACAGCAGCTGCAGTCGCGTCAGTAGCGGCAGTGGCAAGAGAGGCAGTGAAGGTGGGTAACTGCGGGACTGTGCACCCGTGGAAGAGTGGGGGGGGCACAGCACCAGAGGCGGCAGCTACCGAGCGAAGGTTGCTCTCGACGTCCTTGAGCGCAGACTCAAGGACCTCAACTGTCAGCTCACTAGGGTGCTTCAGCAGGAGCGCGTCACGTACGGAGGCAAGGCGGTCAGGGAGGCTAGTGGCGATGAAATAGATAGTAATCGCCATGGGGGGAGGAAGCAGTGCAAGCTGTGCCTCAGTGCAAGCAGCGCGGTAACTAGCGTCGAGCGAGCGGAGGTGAGCGATCAAGTCAGCAGAGCGCTCAAACGAGGCGAGATCAGGAAACAGGAACGGGAGGAAAAGACGGCCAAGAGAGACAGTAGCGGGAGTAGAGTAGCGGGCCTTAATCGCAGTGAGGTACGCAGCAGCGGTGCGAACCTGAGTGAAGTGGACCTCCTCTGACTCAGGGAGGAGGCTGCTGAGTGCGATGCAGGCCGCAGCGTCACGCGACGTCCAAGCCGTCCTGTCAGCGCGCTGACGGGCAAAGCGAGCCGTAGCAGCATCGTCAGGGGCAGGACCTAAAGCGGCAGGCTCGGGGGGCTCGGGGAGGTCACCAGTAGCGTGCGACCAGAGGGTCTCGCCCCCCTGGACTTGACTCTCTAACAGACGGCGAGCGCGAAGGAGCCAGACGGAAAAGTCAAGAGGTCTGCCGTCAGCGTCGAAACGAAGAACTCGCGGAGTCGCCATAGCGAAAACTAACGCGAACGAGCAGGCGAGTAACAGCAGGAGGTAAGAGGCAAATTAGGGTTCAGGTGGGACTTAGTCGCAGCGGAAGAGCGGGCTAGATGTCAGAATCCCAGCCACTAACCACTGGGATAGAAGGGCTTGTTTGTGTAGCGGGTGAGTGCGCCCATAACCCCCCAGGCCGCCATGCCTGTAACCCTTCCCTAGGATCAATCGGGGATCACCAGTGGACCTCTGACACTAGAGCGACGGGCCAGGGCGTAGGGTCGACGGGACGGGGGAAAGGGCGGGCACGATGCGACGGGGCAGGGCGACGCGATGGGGGAGGGCGACGCGACGGGGTAGGGAGACGGGACGGGGCGACGGGACGGGGCAGGGCGACGGGACGGGACGGGGACGGGACGGGGCAGGGGCGACGGGACGGGACGGGGCGACGGGACGGGACGGGGCAGGGCCGCGGGACGGGACGGGACGGGACGGGACGGGGCAGGGCGACGGGACGGGACGGGGACGGGACGGGGCAGGGGCGACGGGACGGGACGGGGCGACGGGACGGGACGGGGCAGGGCGACGGGACGGGGCAGGGGCAACGGGACGGGGCAGGGCGACGTGACGGGGGGAAAGGGCGCGACGCGACGGTGGGAAAGGGCGCGACGCGACGGTGGGAAAGGGCGCGACGCGACGGGGGGAAAGAGCGCGACGCGACGGGGGGAAAGGGCGCGACTCGACGGGGGGGAACGGGCGCGACGCAACGGGGGAAAAGGGCGCGACGTGACGGGGGGGAAAGGGCGCTAGGCGACGGGGGGAAGGGCGCTAGGCTCGGCACTAGGCGCGGTAACAACGGAACCGGTACGAACGAGAGGTAGGATCAGGCTCGGGAGATACGAACGGAGAACGGAGGAACGGGATCCCACAGGATCCTAACCTAACTGATACCATGTCAGAATGAGGAATGGATGATGCATTGATGTTGGTTGGGGTACATATAGCTAACCCTAAGTTTTGTACCCCCTAAGACAAACCTCACTATAGGCTACAACATTTGACAAAATAGCCCAAACATGTGTACCATCAAATGATGGATAAGAGAAGAGAAGAGAAGGTGAAATAAGAGAAGAAAAAATCCACTAAAAGGCGAAATTTACAAGAGAAGGCGAAATTGTCTTTCTAAAGCCAAAATCCCCACGCACAGAACACACTTTGCACAAATACCGTAAAGAAGAGATACAGTAGCGTACCGTATGTGCTATATTCAAACGCTATGTACACTATTTGATTTCCTATCCAGCTCACTGCACCGTCACTTCGGCGACAGGAAGCTGGTAGCTCGCGTCATTCATTACAATCACATCGCCACTCTCCCTCACCACCACCTTCCTCTCCACAAGCAGCAGAAACGCGATTATCTTCACCCCATAACGCCAAGATTTATCCCTCTGCTGGGAATAACTCTTGGCACTCGACACTTCTCGCGTGAACCAGTCTCCTTTTGGATTGCTTCTGCGTTGGTTAGGACACATTCCGTTCCGCAGGATAGGGTCGAAGCTGCTGGACCGAGTGCCGTGAAACGCGAGGTCCAGACTTCCTTTCTCCGCGCTGTCCATGTATGTCAGACCTTTGACTGTGGGATTCCGGGAGTGAGCAGGAAAGAGCATTAAAGATTACTGGAAGTTCTTCCCGTCGTGGGCACGCGTCACCGTTTTGCTTTTGGAACACGGAAATGCGAACGACATTGAACCTAGGAGCAACGGACTTACCGAGTGCAGCATCAGCGGGTAGGTTCTGGGCGGTCGCGAGGAATCGCGTGAGCAACGTGGACCCGGGCGTGAGGTAGGAATTCTTACGAACTTCTACCACCGAGCTGCACCGCTGACCCACCACGTGCCGAACGTACGCCTCCGTGGTGAACGCATCGATGATGCGACTCCAGACCTGTCACGATGCACCAGGTTGAGTTGGTCACGTTAGGATTGAAATGGAGTGCTATCGATGGACGAACTTTTTGCATTCGCTACGTTAAGACTGGAATAGAGTGCAAACGAGCCTGAGATGCCAGGAACCAACATGCAGCTTACCACGGCCGGGGTCCTCAATGCGTCGCTCAGGCTCTTGAGCGACAGCTTCGGAATAACCAGAACCGGCCTTCCCTGATCAGCTGTGGGGTTCCGTTGCTCCATGGTCTGCAGATTCAGCGTGTAAGATTGACCGTTGGGGTAAACTTTCGATGTGAAAACACCAAGGTTCACTTCCCGAAGGCCCAGGGAGGCCGCCTTGAGAATCGCGCGGGACGTGGCGCGATCGTAGGGTCGCCATTGGTCGTCGTCGCGCCAGTAGATGCCGGGAACGTCGGGCTCCGAGCAGGGGAGGAAGTTGATGCACATGGTGGCGGCTTCAAGTTACCGTTGAGAAAAAATGATTTGATTTCCACTATTCTTCCGCTCCTCACGGTGCTCGCGCTGCTACTTTCAGCGAATTCGTCCGAAGGGAAGGAGAGAGCCTGACGGTCAAGATGCATTGTGTCTAAGACAGGCGCCATCGCGGAATTTATGGCTGCGATGTGTAGTCGCTGCGCCTGGAGGACACATTCTAGCTGGAAGTTACCCCGGACTCCAATTCTGTTCAGTTTACCTGTATAATCTCAAGTATCACGCAGACCTTGTTTTCTCTCCCCAGTCACGTCGCCACCAACTTCGGAGTTAATCTAATAATCTAAATGTCATTTTGTCAACGCTGACAACCCAGAAAGAGTAGGGTACTCATGAATTTGACCCCAGCCTCTTCCTCCACCCCCTCTGCCTCGATATTCCAAATTCGCTTACCTCGGGAACTCCATTTTTGCATCCAGCGCCCATCGGAATTTCCTTTTTGCCTTGAAGACATCTGTTCAGCTTACCTCGGGAGCTTTTGATTCATGTTGGCAAGCTAATCGCTTCTACATCGGAGCTCCAACTCTTTCTAGCCTATCTCGTTGGCATGAGAGGCGACCTAGAGGCAATGCTGCTGCTCCAATCGCAGATGCTACCGGTACGGCCGAGGCTTCCTCATAGCTGGATCGCGACTCGGAAAGCCAGCCATTCGTTCGAGGTGCAAGGCAGGTGTTAGAATGAGTAGTGCGAGAACACACAGCATGATAAAGGCGTGGATCTGTTCTGGTCCGCTAGACCTTCATATCTTATTGACAGTCTCGCTGCTAGGCGCGAAGACGAGCAGCGCAGGAATTTAAACTAATGATATGGATTTGTACTTGGTTCAAATCTGCTGGAGGAGAGAAGCATCATCCATCCCACTCACCTCACATTCTGAAGACCCGTCTTTTGGGCAAACCAAGGCTTATAATAACATAGACACACCAGGCCAATTCAATTAAGTATGATATTGTATATTCCCACCATAGATGGGCATGTAGCAACTCCAACATCAAACACAAAACTGCACACAACAAACCGGACCCTATACCACCAAGGCAATGCGAATCCTCTGCAGGATATTTACAAGAAAGCACACCAGTGCACTGCGGAAACAGGGTACCATGATGCAGTGCAGGCACCCGGCTCAACCAGCAGCAGGAGCAGCAGCGGAAAAACACACAGCCTGGAATACCAGGGAGAATGCTGAGATAGACCTTCAATCACTATTGAAGCAGCAATAAGTGGTTGGGCCTCAGCAGGAGGCCCCAGGGAGAATTGACTTGTCAAAAACACTCAGCTCAATCAGCAGCAGATGGAGCAGCAACTGAGGGGTTGAGAGCGGTATTAGGCTGTTTCAGTGTCGGTCTCCTGAGGATTCAACACTTGGTGCGGGCCGGCAGGAGGCCCCAAGGAGCATCTGTCCGTGCTGTGTGTCTCCAACGCCTCCTTTATTTTCGCAATCTGAGGTGAATGGTGGGGAGTGGATAGGGTGGGGTGGGAGAGGCAGGGGACATTCAACACTTGGTGCGGGCCGGCTGGAGGCCCCAGGGAGCATCTGTCGGTGCTGTGTGTCTCCAAGGCCTCCTTTATTTTAGCAATCTGATGTGAATGGTGGAGAGTGGATAGAGCCGGGGAGGAAAGGGTTGGGAAGATTTTTTAGAAGACTCTAAAACTTTGTGCGGAAGATTATCCAACACATCCCTGCTTTTAGCAATCTGAGATAAATAGCGTGTAGAGGACAGAGCCAGGGAGGAGGGAACCTTTGGGTGGGAGAGGGGATGGGAAGGGAAGGATGACGTTAGCCAACAACAATATGAGTGTGTCCCCAGTGCCTTCTCGATTCCAGCAATCTCAAGTTGAAGTAGGGTGACTTGTGTGTCCACCTCGCTTTTGAGTATACTTAAAGAGCACACAGCATGATGTACCGAGGTGAGGGTGGCAGGGAAGGCGTCGAGCAGCCCGTCAGCGCCCCGATAGAAGTGGAAGAACGGCAGCCGCTTGATTCCGAGCGACTGGCACAGCTGCTTGTTGGGTTGGGGCCGGAAACGCTGAGTGACTCTAGGGCAGACTTGAATTGCAGCACCTCACTCAACGTACCGAGGTGAGGGTGGCAGGGAAGGCGTCTAGCAACCCGTCAGCGCCCCGGGAAAATTGGAAAAAGGGCAGCCGCTTGATCCCGAGCGAGCGGCAGAGCTGCATGTTGGGGTCGAACTCAGATGGCTATCAAGAAGATGTGAAAAAGCGCACCTCACACATCGTACCGGACTGAGGCTGGTGGTACCGAACTTACCGAGGTGAGGGTGGCAGGGAAGGCGTCTAGCAACCCGTCAGCACCCCGATAGAAGTGAAAGAAAGGCAGCCGCTTGATTCCGAGCGACCGGCAGAGCTGCTTGTTGGAGTCGAACTCGACTTGCAGGAAAATGACGTCAGGATACTTTGACGCCAGCATGCAGAGCTGAAAGGGGGAGACGGAAAAGGAGAAAGTGGAAAAAGGGCGGGACGGGCATACAGCAATCAACAGAGATGCTTGTTGGGGTCGAATCGAACTCGACTTGCAGGAAGATGACGTCCGGATGCTTCGACGCCAGCATGCAGAGCTGACGGGGGAAGAGAATCCGGGGTGGGGGGAAATGGAGGGACAGAGGGAACAGGTGGGTGGGCAGGGGGAAGGGGAATGGAGCGAGCGGCAAAGCTGCTTGTTGGGGTCGAATTCGACCTGCAGGAAGATGACGTCAGGATGCTTCGACGCGAGCATGCAGAGCTCAAGGGGAAGAGAATTCGGGGTGGGGGGAAACGGAGGGACAGAGGAAGGAACAGGCGGGTGCGCAGGGGGAAGGGGAAGGGTGGTGTGGTAGTGCAGCTTGTTGGGGTCGAATTCGACCTGCAGGAATATGCGGTCAGGGTGCATGGACGCTAGCATGTAGAGCTGAAAAAGGGGAGTTGTGGGGAAAATAATAACGAGAGAAGTGGGGGGAGAAGTGAGGCGGGGCAGAGCTGCTTGTTGGGGTCGAATTCGACTTGCAGGAATATGACGTTAGGGTGCTTCGACGCCAGCATGCAGAGCTGAATGAGAGGGAAATGGGGGGAAAGTTCCGGGGAGAAGCAGGGGAAGAAATGAGGGGACAAATGGGGGAAGACGTGGGTTGGGGTCGAATTCGACCTGCAGGAAGATGACGTCAGGATGCTTGGATGCTAGCATGCAGAGCTGAAGGGGGAATGTGGGTGTGGCGAAGTCGGGGGAGCCGTAGGAGGTGGTGGGGAGAGTGGAGGGAGAAGTGTGAGGGATGGGTGACGGGAAGGGGGGGACGGAGCAAAGCTGCTTGACTAAGTTGAACTCGACTTGCAGGAAGATAACGTCAGGGTTCTTAGAGGCGAGTATGCGCAGCTGAAAGGGGACGTGGGAAGGGGAAGAGAGGAGGGGGAGGAGGGGATGAAGGGGAGGGGGGGATGAAGGGGAGGAGAGGGAGGGGGGCGCGGAGGGGAAGGAGCGCGAGGAAGGGAAGGTGGGGGAGAATGAGGGGGAGGAGGCGCGGGCTGTTCCTCTGCGCTTCTTCACACGCAGAAGATAAGGGCGCGGAAGGTAAGGGCGCAGAAGGTAAGGGCGCAGAAGGTAAGGGCGCAGAAGGTAAGGGCGCAGAAGGTATAAGGCACGCAGGGAAAAGAACTTACCTTAGGGTGCATGGCGCGGCACGAGCGGCACCAGGTCCCGAAAAAGTCGACCACCACGAGCTTGTCTCCCGCCGCGCCTAGCGCCTCCACGAATTCCGCTGTGTTCGCCACGTGTCGCATGTTCGCAGGCACGCGCCGCTCCCACCAGTTTTCGGTCGTCGGAAGCGGAATCTGGTTTCCAGCGCCGACTCCCGAGGGTATCGCTGCGCCAATGCCCGGCATGGGTTGCGCAAGGGCGCAGCGAACGGTTACCGCTCCCCCGCGCTTGCATTGCAACAAGTCTGCACTCCGCAGACTGCGCGGCAACGCGCGAGGGGGGAGTGGCTGGGCGACGAGGCTAGACGAAAGTCCTCGCCCGCGTGTCGAGGCGGAAGAAGCGGCGGAACGGGCCGGAGCGGCGGGGGAGGCGGAAAAGGCAGAAGCTGCGGATGCGGAGGAAGCGGGGGACACCTGCAGCGCGAGAGGCGGATTGAAAGTCGCCATATCGAGTTGCTGTGAGCTGGCTGGACCACGTTGGAGACGTCCCTGAGTAAGGAGTCAGGCAAACGGAAGCCCAAGGATGAACACTGACTGACGGAGGGTTCTCCCAAAAGGTGCTCGTGACGGATTACGTTGGAGACGCCTCCGAGTAAGGAGTCAGGCAGACGGAAGCCCGAGGATAAAGGTGAGGTCGACTGGCGGAGAGATCACCCAGAAGGCGCTCGACGATACTGACGGTACTTCGCAACAGAGTCCCAGCTTGGGTTTGATTACACATTCAGCGCGCGTCGGCGAATTTATATGAATTTGCTGGGGGTAGTATCGCGTTGGATTGGATGCATGCGCCTCTGGGTCACCTCACCACTCCGCAACGCGCAGCGTCCTACCTTACACACCCTTGAAATGAAGACGCAACAAAGAAATTTGAGCACTCGAGTGGTGTCCACCACAGCGACCCCTGCGGAGGAGAGTCATTGAAAAGCGCATGCGAACAAACGCGCTTTTTCTTAGAGGAGTTCCCGAGGGTGGCCCCGGATTCCTGAGAGTGTCACTCTTGGGGAAGCGGCTGCGGCAATGGGATCTGCGCGCGGACCTCGGAGCCCACCCCTGCACCGAATCTGAAGTAGTTTCAACCGCTCTCAGCCTAGTGCGCACCACAGATGCGTAGGTGGTCTGACTGATTTCCAGGAGCGGGCCGAGATGTTGCGTTGCGATGTGTGAGGCGTTGGGGGTTGGGTGGGATGGGGAAGGAGGGGGAAGGGGAAGGGTGGGGGGAGCGAGAGAATTCGTGGCCCAAGTCAAGCGTGTTGATTTCTTCCACGATAGCGCGCCAAGTCTAGAAGCGCAAGCCAGATCTGCGGTCGAGCGAGTGCGCGCGCTCAGTGGCCCGTAACCTGTGCCGCGGAGGAAAGGGCGCAAACAGCCTCTTGCCGAGTGCAGTCGCGCGGTGGAGACCAGTGATTGGCCCAGTCAGTTGCATCCTTGCGAGCCACGCCAGCCCTAGATTGGTGCCGGAAATTCGCTGATGTGGCCGTCTGGGCGTTTTTCCGAACAAGTGCATTCACACTGTAGCGTATATCTTGCCAGCTCCTTGTGCTGTGGCGAAACGTGCGGGGAGTGACGAGGCTGTAAAGGCCGCCTGCCTTGCTGGTGCCATGTCAGCATACATAGTTGCTACCTACGCTTGTTATTAGGATGCTATAAAGGACACTAATTACATATGATAGGTTGGGCTTGCCAAACAAATATTCATGCAAAAACATGCTGAAAGTTCGTATTAATCCAGATTAATCACCGTGATTATTGGTGAGTTTATGGATTGATTTTCTCTTGGCGCTTCTACTTACAAGTGTACGCCAATTCATTTTCCCCTTGCAAGGGATCGAAGATGTGGGCCTGCTTTGAACCGAATTCAGTCAATATCGGGGTTTCTCGGACGTCGTATTTCCGCGCGTGCCGCGAGAGCACCCTACTGGCCTTCACACGTCCCTGAATGTTGGCGCCACAACTTCTCCCAGCATCCCCCGCGAAGTAAACAGAAACAGTTGTATATTCGTATCTTCTTTTCGCGAGACCGAGATTTGTTCGCAAGATGCTGGTTACTACCAATGGAAGCTTTGTCGGACCACGTTTCGAGGCCCGGTTTCTCGTTTAAGGTGACCACACTAGACGTGTCATAGCTGCGAGCCTAGCGTCAGAGCTTACCAAACCAGAAGTATCGGTCCGCACGAGCAGCGCTGTCTGCTGAGGACCAGACCTGGTTTGGTTCGGCCAGCGACCTAGAAGTTGTTTTGTGGACGATTTCTAGGCAACTTGCTCAACAACTGGCAGTGTTTTCTCCTAAACTTCAGGCGTTCTCGCTTACCTGTCAGAGAAGCCTGACACACTTTAGTGGGCAGGTACAAAGTAGACCCCCCCTGGCGACTTCAGCAACATCTTTAATATCAGTCATCCTGAACGGCTGTTAGGGATCACGTCAAATTAGGTGTCTGATAGTTGAGTGCACTCGTAGTTACGGCCGATCAGGAAAGTCAACGACTTCCAAGCTTGTTTCACCCCCCACCACACAGACGGTCACTTCGACTGACGCTCGTTCCTTCGTAAGCTCTCCAGTCCACGCTGTGGGTTATTTTGCAGCACCAGTTAGCGGCGTACAGTAATTTCAACATCCAAGCCCATTTCGTAACTCCTCTGCCACGCGAGATAGTCGTCCTTTTCTATCCGAAACAACAGCTTAGGATTCTAGTCCTTTTCTCTCCAGAACCAAGAGGAGCACGGTGCTGGCTGCACTGCGTTACTGGACGTTCACCTGGCCGAGCACCAGACGTGTCGACAGCTGTTTCGCGTTGAAAGCCACTGCTGAAGGTTGTTCTCTGAGCATATACGACAAGCCTTGCCGATCACGTGCTTCAAGAAGTTTATCGTGATTACCAGCACCCACAGATGCTCCATCCAGAGATGTCGCTTCCAGAGAGATGTCGCGTGTCCCAGGTTTTACCCAGCTTTCCGGTTTGTCAACCAGAACGTCTAACAACGGGTTTCTCGTCACGCAAAATTGTTTTATAATGAAAGCCGTCGCAGTAGCCGGTATCCACAGTCGACGTATCTAGAAGCTTGTACCTTCCACCCAGAACTGGTAATAGCGTAGCGACAGTTTTTGATCATGAAGGCTATCGTGGTGGCCGGCACGCACAGCGGCGTGGGCAAGACGAGCGTCGCCGTGGGTCTCATGGCCGCCTTCCGCCGACGAGGACTCCGCGTGCAGCCGTTCAAAGTCGGACCCGGTGCGAAACGTTACGATACTATACGATACGATGCACTGTTGATCCACCAGGCTTTTTTCTTCTTCCCGTTTCCGACTTTGATTGAGGTTCCTGGATGGCTAATGCCGACTTGGGACGATTTCCCGTCTGGTCTTTGAGCATAGCTGTGGTACAGAGTTGCCAGCAATGGTATCTAGTCCTGATCCTTGTATCTATCCGTGTGTTGCATGTTGTTTGTGGCATGTTGTATGTGACATGTATTTGGGATGCTGTACGTGGCATGTTGTATGTGACATGTATTTGGAATGCTGTACGTGGCATGCTGTATGTGACATGTATTTGGGATGCTGTACATGACATGTTGTATGTGACATGTATATGGGATGCTGTACATGGCATGTTGTATGTGGCTTGTATTTGGGATGCTGTACATGGCATGTTGTATGTGACATATATTTCGGATGCTGTACATGGCATGTTGTATGTGGGATGCTGTGGCATGTCTGAACTGCATGGTGTGTATGACATGCTGTGGGATGTTCTATTGGCATGTTGTATGTGCCATTTAGTATGTGGCATGATGTATGTGGGCATGTTGTACGTGACATGCTGCACGGGGCATCTTGGATGTGCCATGTCATGTCGAATGCGTATGGCAGATTTCCTGGACCCCATGCACCACCAAGCGGCTACAGGGCGAGACTCGTACAACCTGGATGGGTGGGTGCTCAACAGGTATGTTTCATTGAGGAGATGGATGGGAGAGTGTGGGGATGAGTAAATGGGTTGGGTTGGTTTCGTGGATGGATGGGTAAATGGTGGGGAAATGGTGGAGAGAAGAGACTCGTACAACCTAAATAGGTGGATGCGCAACAGGTATGGCTTTATCGCGCGGATGAGTGGATGGGGATGATTGAGTGCACGGTTGACGGGTGGGTGGGTGGGTGGGTGATGGATGGTTGGGTGGACAGACCAGCAATTTGTATGGGTGGATTTGTTGGGTGGACTGACGGATAGGTGGATGGATGGCTGGTGGTTGGATGGGTGCATGGTTGGATGGGTGCATGGTTGAATGGTTGGGTGGACGGATGGGTGGACGGGTGAATGAATGGATTGCCGAACTTTCTCCTTGCTTTCTCACCTTTCAGCCTTTCCCCCCTTTTCCCCCCATCCCTCCCCTCCTCCACCTCTCACCACCTCTCGCCACCAGAGAGGCCAATGTCGCGTGCTTCACCCGATTCGCTGCCTCAACTGACGTGGCAGTAGTGGAGGGCGTGATGGGGCTATTCGACGGTCGAGATGGCAAGACAGAGGTCGGCAGCACAGCAGAGATGGCCAAGATCATAGGCGCCCCAGTTGTCCTCGTTTTAGACTGCTGGTCTATGTCTAGAAGCGCGGCGGCCATGGTGCATGGTTACGCGTCTTTCGACCCGTCTTTGCGGTTCGCGGGGATTATTCTGAATAAGGTTGCCAGCGCAGCGCATGCCACGTGGCTGACTGAGGCGCTAGAATCTGCACACGTCAGAGTTCCCGTCCTAGGTGGCATTCCGAAATCTGCTGACGTGGAGATGCCAGAGCGCCACCTGGGATTGCACCGGCCGGGGGTGGACGCAGACGGGGTGCCAGCTCAGCACGCCGAGCGGCTGGCGACGCTGATTGAAGCCCACGTGGACCTGGACAGGCTGTTACAGCTGGCAGCTGACGTGGCAGGGGCGCCAACAATGGGGCCTGGGGGAGGGGAGGGGAGTGTGTGCGGAGGGGAGGATGTTGAGGGGAGTGTGGTGGGTGGAGGAGGGAGTGTGGTGAGTGGGATGGGAGGAGCGGGAGGGGGAGAGTGTGGTGGGTTGTCGGCCAATGAGCTGCCGCCGTTGTCGATGCCACCCGGAATGAAGCTTGCTCGCATTGGAGTGGCGAGAGACGAAGCCTTCTGCTTCTACTACCATGATAACCTGTCGCTGCTCAGAGGTGAGGCCTTGTATGGAGTATGAGGCAATGCCATATGGAATGAAGCTTGCTCGCATTGGAGTGGCGAGAGACGAAGCGTTTTGTTTTTACTACCATGACAATCTGTCGCTTCTGAGAGGTAAATAGGGTCTTGTATGGAGTATGAGGCAATGCCATATGGAATGAAGCTTGCTCGCATTGGAGTGGCGAGAGATGAAGCGTTTTGTTTCTACTACCATGACAACTTGTCATTGCTCAGAGGTAACTGGAGCTTTGTGTGTTTCTGTGTGTCTCATTATGAGTGCATACCATATGGCATGAAGCTTGCTCGCATTGGAGTGGCGAGAGACGAAGCCTTTTGTTTCTACTACCACGATAACCTGTCTCTGCTGAGAGGTGAGACATGTACCCCCTGACCCACCGTTGTCGATGCCACCCGGAATGAAGCTTGCTCGCATTGGAGTGGCGAGAGATGAATCCTTCTGCTTCTACTACCACGACAACTTGTCACTTCTCAGAGGTAAATAGGGCCTTGTATCAAGTATGTGGGTCAATGCCATATGGAATGAAGCTTGCTCGCATTGGAGTGGCGAGATACGAAGCCTTTTGTTTCTACTACCACGACAACTTGTCGCTTCTGAGAGGTACGTGCGTACGGTACCTGCACACCGCCTTTTTTGGTTTACCTTGGAGCCAATACCCTGAGCTGCACGCGGCTGCTCTGGCTGCTCTGGCTAGGCTTGCATGTTCCCAATCACCCTTGTGTTATCACGACAACTTGTCACTGCTCAGAGGTAACTGGAGACTTATGTGTTTCTTTGTGCTTCTGTATGAGTCAATGAAGCTTGCTCGCATTGGAGTGGCGAGAGACAAAGCCTTTTGTTTCTACTACCACGACAACTTGTCGCTGCTCAGAGGTAACTGGAGCGTTGTGTGATTCTGTATGAGTCAATGAAGCTTGCTCGCATTGGAGTGGCGAGATAAGGGAAGCGTTTTGTTTCTCACGCCGCATCAACTCGGTTTACTTTGGAGCCAATACCCTGAGCTGCACACTACTGCTCTGGCTGTTCTGACTTGGCTTGCATGTTCCCAATCACCCTTGTGCCATCTCCTGCTCCTCTGTTTTCAATGCTGTTTCACACCACCAGAGGCCGGAGCAGAGATTGTCTTTTTCTCCCCCCTCGCCGACCCACTACCCCACCGCCTTGACGCGGTTTATATCGGAGGGGGCTACCCCGAGCTGCACGCGGCTGCTCTGGCTGCCAACACCAAGTTGGTCTATGCGCTGCGGGCGTTTGCTGCTGCTGGCGGGGTGGTGTATGCTGAGTGTGGTGGGCTCATGTACCTCTCCAGGAGTATTGAGGTGAGAGAGAGGAGAGAGGTTGGGTAACTGGGTTCTAGTCTGGCAGTGGGTGGTTGGTTGGTTGGTGGCTATGGTGAAAAAAAAAGAAGAAAACACAAAAAAAGTGCATGGGGTCTGGTCTGATGCACCGGGGGAGAGGAGGAGGGGGAGGGGAGGAAAGAGGTACCCCGAGCTGCATGCGGCTGCTCTGGCTGCCAACACCAAGCTGGTCTATGCGCTGCGGGCCTTTGCTGCTGCTGGCGGGGTGGTGTATGGCGAGTGTGGTGGGCTCATGTACCTGTCTAGGAGTATTGAGGTGAGCGAGTGTGAGGGGAGGGGAGGGAGATGGCTTTGCCCTGCTGCCCTTCCAAGTGGTAACGGGATTCCTTTGGCAGTGGGCGGTTCGTTGGTTGGCTGGTTGGTAGCTATGGTGAGTGCATGGGGTCTGATCTGATGCACTGGGGGAGGGGAGGGGGAGGGGAGGAAAGAGGTATCCCGAGCTGCACGCGGCTGCTCTGGCTGCCAACACCAAGCTGGTCTATGCGCTGCGGGCGTTTGCTGCTGCTGGCGGGGTGGTGTATGCTGAGTGCGGGGGGCTTATGTACCTGTCACGGAGCATCGAGGTGAGAGCAGGGACGTAAGATTGCATTGAGGCAGCCATAGAACCGTTTATGATAGATGTCTAAGGATTGATGCACTTGTTTTCTAGGTGGTCCCATTTTCCTAAGCCCCTCTTTCTCCCTCTCTGCTCATGCGCCATTCTCGCCCCCACCCACTCCCCCTTCTCCCTCTTTCACAGACGAAGGAGGGCGAGGTGCATGAGATGTGTGGGCTGCTGCCCTTCCGCACGCGCATGGTTTCCACCCTCAAGCTCGCCTACTGCACGGTGAGTTGCCTGTCTGTGAGATTCGACCACTGCCCACTGCAATGTGAGCTTGGGCAAGGGATGAAAGAGAGCGAGGTGCACGAGATGTGTGGTCTCTCAAGCTCGCCTACTGCACGGTGAGCACTCTACTCGCACGAAGGTGAAGCACGGGGTAAAAGAGCGTGAAGTGCATGATATGTGTGGGCTGCTGCCGTTCCGCACGCACATGGTTTCTACCCTCAAGCTCGCCTACTGCACGGTGAGTTGCCTGTCTGTGAGATTTGCCCCTTACACATTGCCCTTCGATTTGCGGCAGTGTTTGCTCTGTGCCGCCCCCCCTCACCTTCCTCCCCCCACCCCTTTCTCCCCCCCTTTTTCCTGTTTCGTCTCTCTTCCCCCAGGTGTCCTGTTTCCTGCCGAGTTGGGTGAGATGACAGGGCAGTTCATTTCAGCCAGGTCGTGATGGATGCCTCTTCTTTCATGATATTCCACTTCCTTCTGATTTTGAGGCGCCTCAAAACAGGTCGTGCTGGATGCCTCTTCTTCCATCATATGCCACTTCCTTCCCTGTTTTTTCTATTGCTCCCCCAACCCGCTTGCCTCTTCTTTCTCCTGTCTTCTCCCAGGTCCGCCCCCAGCCCAACTGCGTGCTGTTCCCTGCCGAGCTGGGCGAGATGAGGGGGCAGTTTTTCCACTTTAGCGAGGTCGTGTTGGATGCCTCTCCCTCCTTTCCACACCCGTCTTTTCCTCTTTGCTATTGTCTGCTCTGCCTGCTCACATAAACCCCTGCAGGTCCGCCCCCAGCCGAACTGCGTGCTGTTCCCGGCTGAGCTGGGCGAGATGAGGGGGCAGTTTTTCCATTTTAGTGAGGTGGTCTTAGATGACGGCTCGTTCCATGGTGATCAGCTGGAGTTTGGGTGAGTGGGAAGGGGTCTGGTTTACGGTATGTATGAGGTGAGCTGGTTTGTTGCAGCTGGGTGAGATGAGGGGGCAGTTCTTCCACTTTAGCGAGGTGGTCTTAGATGACGGCTCGTTTCATGGCGATCAGCTTGAATTCGGGTGAGAAGGGGCTGCTTAGGCCTGTTGTATGGCATGAGGTGAGCTGGTTTGGGTGTGATTTGATTTGATTCAAGGCACAGAGGGGAAGGTTGTCTTATCGTCTGAGGGTGGCTTATGGGCTGGGTGCGGCATGGCAAGAGGTCGGTTATGCTGGATGATGGCTCTTTCCATGGTGATCAGCTGGAGTTTTGGGTAAGCAGGGGTGCTCAGGGGTGTTGAGTGGTACGAGGTCAGCTGGTTGGGTGCAGCGTGGCAAGAGGTCGTGCTGGATGGTGGTTCCTTCCATGGTGATCAGCTGGAGTTCGGGTGTGAGCGGTTTGTGAGGGGGCGTGATAGGCATGGCATGGCAAGAGGATGCATATGGTGGCGTGATAAATGGTGGGGGCAGTGCTAGCGTCTTACCAGCATCTGTGCTTCGCCTTCAACCCCTCCCTCCCTCCCATCCCCCCAACCCCTCCCTCCCTCCCATCCGTGCCCTCCCCCCTGCCTGCCCTCCCTCACCAGATACCTGATCGAGCAGCAGACCCCCGGTGCCACCTCCTGACCAGAGGGCTACATGGTGGGGGCAGTGCTAGCCTCCTACGTGCATCTGCACTTCGGATCCAAACCCCCCGTCCCATCCCCTCCCTCTCTCCCTCTTCACTGCCTGCGCTCCCCCTTCCCAGGTACCTGATCGAGCAGCAAACTCCCGGTTCTGCTTCTCGTCCAGAGGGCTACATGGTGGGGGCAGTGCAAGCGTCATACGTGCATCTGCACTTCGGATCCAACCCCGCCTTCATAGACGCCTGCCGACACTCTGCTGCCTCCCGTGGTGGTGCTGGTTCTTGGGTCGTTCATTTCAATGTTCCACCCGCCCACTTCCATACTCCCTTCCCCCCTGCTCTCTCCCTCCCCTCCCCTTCCTTCCCCAGGTACTTGATCGAGCAACAAACTCCAGGCGCCACCTCCCGTCCAGAGGGCTACATGGTGGGAGCAGTGCTAGCCTCGTACGTGCATCTGCACTTCGGATCCAACCCCTCCCTCCCCCACGCCTTCATAGACGCCTGCCGAACCGACCCTACAAAATCCGCAGCTGTCGCCGCTGCCTCTGCCTCGGCAGTGGCAGGAGCAGGGGCGGCGGCCGCGGCAGCAGCGGGAGCAGCAGCTGCTGCGGCGGTGGCGGATGCGTTGAGTGAAGACGATAGGCTGTCACAGCGATCGGTCTCGTATAATGTGTACTCGTCCCCGGTTCACCCGAGTCAGCTGGGGTTGCAGCATCAGCAGCAGCATCAGCAGCAGCAGCAGCAGCATCTGGCTCCTGGCTGTGCGCCCTCTTCTGTGTCTTCTGTACAGTCTGGGAGCTCGTATCGAAGGAGGAGTGAGAGCGGAGGGAGGTGGGATGCGAGGGGGTTCGATGCTGGTGGGGGGGTGTCGCCGCCTCATTATATCGAGACGTATGGGAGGGGAGGAGGTCGAGGAGGGGGCGCAAGGGGGGGTATTGGTGGGCCAGGTGGGATGTATTACGGTGGGGGGGTTTCGCCTCCTCATTATATGGAATCATACGGGCGAGGAAGAGGGGGAGGAGGAGGGGGAGGGGTAGAGGCAGGGGCAGGATATGGGGGTATTGGAGGGAGAGTGCATGATCCGAGGTGGCAGTGGCAGGAGGATATTATTCCGAGGGCTCATTCAGGTACTGTTCCTGGTTCTTCAGGTGTTTACTCAAGTGTTTTCTCAGGTGCCCCATCAGGTATTTCGCCTGAGCACGATGATCCCGCCGAGGCTGACCTCCAGGCTCGGCGGATGGGCTCTCGCGAGGCAGAGGACCGGTCCTCACGTTCGGAATCGTATGCGATTGGAGAGCGTGCGGGCGGTAGAGTTGTCCCATATGCCATGTTCCCAGGCGGCAGCGCCATTGGCAGCGCTGTGGCAAGAGCATACGGCGGGCAATCAAATCACAGAGGATATGGATATGAGCTGGGCACGGGCGGTGGAAGTGGGGGGAGAATGGGTGGCAGCGGAGGAGGTGGGGGGCGGGGTGGAGTTGACTGGGCTCGGTACGAGCTCTCCCCGCCCCTCCCTTACCAATCCACAGGTTCTTCCAGGGAGGGGAATGGCAGTCAAGGGGTGGGAGGGCCAGGATTTATTCCTTCCCCTATGCGGAGGTCTATTTCTGAGTTGTGGGTGTCTGCGGGTGGGGGTGGTGGGCTAGAGGAGTTGAGTCTGGGCGGAGGGCAAGGTGCGAGTGGGCAAGGGGGAAGAGGAGGGGGAGGAGGCGGAGCAGGGGGAGTAAGAGGAGGAGCGAGAGGAGGAGGGGGAGATGGGGGAGCGGGTGGGTATGTGGGGGCAGGAAGGAGAGACAGTGGGAGTAGGGGGAAAGTCGTGGGAGGAGGAACTGGGGCAGGAGGGGTAGGAGCAGGGGGAGAGGGAGGAGTGGGAGGAGGGAGAGGTAGAGGAGGGTCTAGTAACAGAGGTGGTGGGGGTGGTTCAGTGGCGGGGAGATCAGGAAGCGGAGGTGGTAGTAGCTCGACCTCAGATCCCTCTGCATACCTCTCCACCGCTGCTAATCCCTCTTCAGCAGGTGCCTCTGCAACAGACGGGCGCAGCTATGCTGAGGGTCGAAGCTATGCGGATTCCGGTTCGGCTTCGGATTATGATGAGATGAACGCGAGTGATTTGAGGAGCTCTTCTGAGTTTGACGAGGGGCTGACGTCTAGTGGCCGGCTGTCGGATTTTGTGGGGAGCAATAGCGGGAGGAGCGTGGAGCAGATTTATGAGACGGGGGGAGGGGGTGCGGGAGGAGGGGTGAAGGGGCCTTCTAGCGGGAAATTGGCGGATTTTGTGAGTGCAGGGGTAGGGGTTTTGGGAGAAGGAGGAGGAGGAGGAGGAGGAGGACAGGGAGGGGGGTCAGCTGGTGGGTCTCTCAAGAATTTATCGGCTGGATCGATGAGGAAGCTGGCTGCTGCTGCTGCTGGGACTGCTACCCAGGCAGAGGCAACTGGGCATGCCAGAAGTGGAAATGTTACCACAAGTGGGAATGTTGCCAAAAATGGAAACGGTGCCCAAAATGGGAGTGGAAGCTGGAGCGATTCGGGCCGTGCGAGGTGGGTGGGAGAGAAGAGTGTGGAGGGAGAGACGGGAGAGGAAAGAGGGCATATGGAGAATGGGGATTGGAGGGATGCGGTGGGGGGTGGTTCGAGGTATTTTGAAGCAAGAGATACAGTTGAGGGGTTTCAAGAGGTAGGGGCGGAGGAGAGAAGGGAGGTGGGTTGGGAGGAGGAGGAGGAGGAAGAGGAGGAGGATGAGGTGGGGACCGGGCAGGAAGTGAGAGAAGCGCCTAGAACAATGCGTCTAGATCCTCGATTGGTTGAGGAGGTGAGGGAGAGAGAGATGGAGAAGCAGAGGGAGAGGCAGAGGCAGGAGGAAACGGGGAACGAGCAGAAGGGGCAGAACAGGCAGCAGGTGCAGCAGAAGAAGCAGCAGAAAGGGGAGGATGGGCAGGCAGGGAGGTGTACCCAAGAGGATCAAATGCAGCAGTGGCAGCAGCAGAAGCATCTGAAGCAGCTGCAACAGCAGCAGCAGCAGCAGCAGGAGCATGCTCGGAAGCTCTCAGAGGGAATCGAAGCTTTTAGTGCTGCAGATTGCCGGGGCACCAACAGTGGCATCAGCGGCAGAAGCAGTGGCAATGGTGACGGGTTCCGTTCCCTGCCCACCCAGCTGTACCGCACTCTGCTCCGCGACACCCATTTGCACCACTCTCATCTCCACGACACCCAGGTGCACAGGAGTTTTACTGGGGCTTCAGTGTCTCAACGTGCTGCTGCTGCTGCTGGTGCTGGTGGTGGTGACGGTTCTGCTGCTGCTGGTGGTGGTGCTTTGGCTAATGCTGGTGGTGCTGCTAGTGCTGCTGGTGGTGTTGATGGTGCTGCTGGTGCTGCTGGGAGTATAGCAGTGAGCAGGAGCGCGAGCGGGAGGCTTTATGCTGAGAATGAGGTGTCTTATAAGATCTCTCAGAAGCTTTATATCGAGGATGAGGTTTCCAGTCAATCACGGGCAGTCAGGATAGCAGGAGGGGCAGCAGGAGGGGCAGAAGGAGCAGGGGAAGAAGCCAGGGCAGCAGCAGCTGCAGAGGCAGTGGTAGGAGCAGGAATAGCAAGGGGAATGGGGGAAGGGGCAATGGGGGAAGATGTAGTGAAGAGAGGGGGAATGAGGTCCGCTGATGGGACTCCAACGAAGATAGCTAGTGCACCGCTCCTCACAGGCCTGCCTTCTACAAACACTCCTGCTGCTGCTGCTGCTGCCGCTGGTGGTGGTGCTGGTAGCAGGGGCGGAATGGGAGAGAGCGAATTCAGTGGAAGGGCGGCAGTGTCAGCAGCACATGGGAGTTATGCGCACATGTCTGGGCTTGCCACTCAGCCTGCAGATTCTGCCCATGCCACTCACACCACCCATGCCACACACCCCGGGCATTCTTCCTTGCATCCTCATACCCCATCTCATCCTCACTCCTCCATGCATCCTCCTCCTTCTCAGCATCCTCTCCCCTCTCACTATCCTCCCCTACACCCCCCTTCCCATCATCCTCAGCATCAGCAGCAGCTGCATAATCATCACAATCATCAGCAGCAGTATCAACAGCAGCAGCATTATCCTCTGTACTCTCAACCCGTCCCTCCTCTTAGCACCCCCTTTCCAGGCCCTCCAATCTCAGCAGCTGTTACCGGGACTCACACCACCCCTCTTCCTACTTCTTCAGATCTACCCCAGTTCAGCACTCCTCCCGATCCAGCTTCCAAGGCAGCAGCCGAAGCTGTGGCCGAAGCTGCAGGTCGGGCGGCTCAAGCTTTTCAGGCTGCCCGTTTGGGACCAGATGCAGAGCCTGAGACGGACGCTTTCTTTGATTCCTGCCCGAACTTTGAATCCCCAAAGCTGAAATTCCACACTCCTCCATCCGACGTAAATGCCCCTCTCCTCAACTCAGACTCCCTCACTCTCTCAGACCCTCACGCTCTTCCCACTCCCCCCACCCACTCTCATTCCCACACTCCCCCTGTCCCCCACACTCACTCTGGCCTGCATTCCTTCTCAGAGTCTCACAGTCTCTCCCACTTTCACACTCACTCTGACCCTCACACCTCCTACCCCCATGCTCTCCCTCACATTTTCTCAGACCCCCACACCCACTTCTCCCCTTCTAAAGATTTTTCTAAAGATTTTTCCTTTGGCACGAGGAGGCGATTAGACCTAGGCCAAGGGGCTGATGGGGGAAGATGGGGAGAAGGGTTTGGGGTTCGGGAGAGCGGAGGGAGGATAGGGGTTGGGGGTGCGCACCAGGGAGAGCAGCAGAGACAGAGACCGGGGCAGGGGCAGGGGCAGGGGCAGGGGCAGGGGCAGGGGCAGGGGCAGGGGCAGGGGCAGGGGCAGGGGCAGGGGCAGGGGCAGGGGCAGGGGCAGAAGGAGCAGGATCAGGAGCAATGGCAGCAGCGGCAGCCGGAGCAGCAAGTGCAGCAACAGCCACTGCAGCAACAGCAGGGGCATAAACAACTAGAGCAGAAGCAGGAGCAAGGGGAAGGGGACAAAGTGGGGAGCTTGAAAACTGCAGTACAGTCCAGTCTGAGTGTGACAGATACGGTGGAAGGTTGGATGCGGTGTAAGGGGGTGGAGACGGGTGCTGATGTGACAGTAGGGAGTTACGGGGTGACTTCAGCAGGGTTGAGAATGGCAGGTGGTATGTCAGGTGGAATGGGGAGTGTAACTTCAGGTGGAATGGCAACAGAGGGACAGCTGTTGGGAGGCAAGAGCAGGAAGCCTCGTGTTGTGTCACTGTCGCCTGCAGCAACTGATATCATCATGGCACTCAGTAAGTTTCTGTGGTGCGGTGAGGTGCGGTATGGTGGGGTGTGTGTGGTGCGGTGGGGCGGGGTGTGGTGCGGTGGGGTGTGGTGTCCGTTGAGATTTAACATCAAATGTCACACCTCACGATCCCTGCCCTACCATGCTACCCTGCTCCTCAACCACCACGAGTCACGAACCCCTTCGACTGCTCCCTTCATGCACACCCCATTTCTCACTTGTTTTTGAGTTGATACAGAGACTCAGCAGCCTCTTTGACTTAGAAATGACGAGCACAACAATCCTCCTCGTGTGCTTCCTTTACCCACATCCCATTTTCTAATCTTCTTCCTGCTTTTCAGGAGCAACGGACCAGCTGATTGGTGTGTCGGATCAGTGCCGCCCATCCAGCTCCCTGCCACACGCATGCCACGTGGTATGCTGACATCAGCCTGTCTGTACTATGATGCAGCCTTTGCCATGCTGCCATGCCATGTGTCGCCATGCCATGTGTCGCCATGCTGCCACGTATGTGTTGCTGTGACTTTTCAGAAATTTCCAAAAGTCACACTTCCATGTGTGTGTTCCATGTTGTACCATGCCTCTGTTGAGATTGTGTTGGTGAGTGTATGATGCATGTCGTATTGTGCTCTGTCATTATTTGACATATGATATTTCACTTCTGTCTCCTTGTTCCCCTCCTCCTCTTCTCTCCTCTCGTTGCTTTCCATGATCCCAACTGTGTGTATCTTTGCAACCAGGTGCTTCGCTGCCCTGCTGTCACCAAAGTGTCTTCCAAGGTGTGTTTGCACGTCTTGCATGCATGTTTTAGTTGACTTGACTTGAGCCCCTGTCGCTTCCCTTATCCCAAGTGAATAGTGTCTTTGGAATCAGGTGTTTCGCTGCCCTGCTGCTGCGAGCAAGGCGTCTTCCCAATTCCGTTCTTCTCTTTGCATCTGCATCCCTTTGCATCCCTGTGCATGTTCCTTGTGTAAATTTTTCGACTTTTGGGTTTCTCTTGCCCTACAAGGCACTCAGGTGTCATTTCCCTCTCTCTCCCCCTCCATCCCGTTCTCCCTCCTTACCTCCCTCCCTTCCCCCTCCTTCCCTCCCTCCCTTCCCCCTCCTTCCCTCCCTCCCTTCCCTCTCCTTACCTCCCTCCCTTTCCCCCTTCCTTTCAATACCCGTGCTTAGGCCCAGGCACCCTCATGTGTGCTGGATTCGGAGTGGTTGAGAGCGGTGCAGCCAGATGTGGTGCTCTTGGGGGGCTCCACTGCTTGCCTGCGTTGCGACCTGCACTGGCAGGAAGGAAACTCTCTGCCTACCGCTGCTGCTTCTTCTGTTTCTAGTGCTGATTCTGCTAGTGCTGCTGCTGCTGCTGCCGCTGCTGGTGCTGCTACTGCTGATGGTAGTGCTGGTGGTGCTACTACTACTGCTGGGGGTGCTGGAGGGTCAACACAAGGCCCAACAGCAGCAGGAGGAGGAGGAAGCGGATCAGGAGTGGCAGAGAAGGGGAGGCATTGTGACAGCCGTACCTTGGCTGCAGAGGTTCGGAGGAGCCTCGGTGAATCAGGCCCAGGAGAAGGTGGTGCATCAATTGTTTCTCTCCGTCCTGCCACAGTGAGTTGCCAAATCGTAGAGCAACTTGTCAATAAAATGTGAGACTTTTGGGATAATTCTTGAGAATTCAGGCTTGACAATTCAGCCAGTCCACGCCCTCTCCCTTTACAGCCCTCTTTCTTTTCCCCTACCTTCTTCTCACCCCCTCCCCATCCCACCACCTCGCCCAGGTGCTAGAGTCGGTGGTCACAGAGGGGGCAGCCCTGGGTCCGCACCAGCCAGCCAATGCGATACCCTTTATATGCCTCACCGTCTTTCTGCTCAACTCCTTGCCTCCCTCTCCCCATCCCACCACCTCGCCCAGGTGCTAGAGTCGGTGGTCACAGAGGGGGCAGCCCTGGGTCCGCACCAGCCAGCCAATGCGATACCCTTTATATGCCTCACCGTCTTTCTGCTCAACTCCTTGCCTCCCTCTCCCCATCCCACCACCTCGCCCAGGTGCTAGAGTCGGTGGTCACAGAGGGGGCAGCCCTGGGTCCGCACCAGCCAGCCAATGCGATACCCTTTATATGCCTCACCGTCTTTCTGCTCAACTCCTTGCCTCCCTCTCCCCATCCCACCACCTCGCCCAGGTGCTAGAGTCGGTGGTCACAGAGGCGGCAGCCCTGGGTCTGCAGCAGCCAGCCATCCCCTTTATAAGCCTCTCCCTGTTTCCAAATTCCCCTGTTCGCGTCACCTCCACCTGCTCTCCCAGGTGCTTGAATCAGTGGTGACGGTGGGGGCAGCTCTGGGTCTGCACCAGCCAGCCCAGGCCTTTTGTAACACTCTCTTTCTTCTCTTACTTTGTCTGCTAACCCCTCCCCACCCCTCCAGCTCTCACAGGTGCTAGAATCAGTAGTGACAGTGGGGGCGGCCCTGGGTCTGCAGCAGCCAGCCCAGGCCCTCTCCTCCCACCTCCACCTGCGCCTGCGCTCCCTCGCTGCTGCCCTCGCCACCGCCCCCCATCCCCCAAGTCACCTCCCTAGCTTCCATCTTCCCTCTTGTCACAGGCGACCAGTAGCTTCCCCTGCTCCCTGTCCCCTTATCAGCAGCTTCCTATTCCCCTACCTGTGCCTTTCCCCCACCCCTCCAGCTCTCACAGGTGCTAGAATCAGTAGTGACGGTGGGGGCGGCTCTGGGTCTGCAGCAGCCAGCCCAGGCCCTCTCCTCCCACCTCCACCTGCGCCTGCGCTCCCTCGCTGCTGCCCTCGCCACCGCTCCCTCCCGCCCCCGCGTCACCTCCCTGGAATCAATCTCTCCCCTGGTCATGGCGGGGCACTGGCTGCCCGAGATGAAAGTTTTGGCCGGGGCAGATGATGGGGGATTGCAGGAGCCGGGCAGCCCGGTGAGGAAAGTTTTGTGGGAGAGCATTACGGCGTTCGGGCCTCAGGTGCTGTTTCTGACGCCGTGTGCTGCTGATGTGAAGACTGCTCTTGCTCAGGTAAGGGTGGAAGGATGGAGGGGTGTGCCTGACTTGGAATAAAAACATGTCGGTTCTGGCGAGAATGTTTCTTTGCATTTCCGATAGCTACTTCATTTGCTTGCCTGTTCGTATCTTCACCCCCTTATGTCCTGTTCTTTTCACAGGTTGAGGCTCTTGCTCGCCTGCCCGGCTTCTGGTCGCTGCCCGCAACCGAATCTGGGCAGGTTTACATTATCGAGTCGTGTCTCTTCCTCAACGCAGGCCCGCGATTGGTGGACGGTGTTGAGTTGCTAGCCAGAATTATTCATCCCGACCGAGTAGCTGTGCCCTTACCTCCCGGATGCTTCGTCTTGAAGCTGGAACTTAGTAGGGAGAAACACTACCGAGCAGGGGACGTTCATAAACATTTTAGGCCGCTTCTATAGTTTAAGGCACGCTTGTTTTGCAAGGGTTATTTAACAGGTAGAGTAGCTATAGTGAACGTAGGCAAGCAGATCGTGTTAGTTTCAAGTAGCAACCATATGTCATATATTTAGGACCTTAGATTTAACCATCAAAGGCTTGTGGTGGAAGCTCAATGGCTTATAGTATTTTATTACCCCTATCTTGTTAGTTGCCAACAGCAAACCCCCAGTTTTAGTGGCCAACTACATTCACTTGCTGCCTAATAGGCGAACGGTAACAGATTCGTGAAAGTCTTGGTTGTTGTGAGCCACGTGTCATGGAGTTTCAGGCTTACCCACTCCTACGGAATTTTAGTTGAAGCGATTTGTGGACATGGGTTTGTAGAAATAGGTGGCGAGGAATCGAGCATGATGAGGTGGACGGATGAGGTGATCCACCGCCTCACAAGCCATATGGCCCATATCTCAGAACTTCATATCGGAAAGCAATCATTCTTTCCGAATGTGACGCCGTACAGTAGCGAGAATTTGGTTCGATACGACGCTACATTCCCGTCAAACTGAACATGCCCCCTTGAATTGATATGGTTTGGAGCTTCTCGTCGTGTCTGTTGATCTGCTTGTTTTTTTGTGGAACATTCACCCTAGAACTCAGTCCTACCCCATTACGACTGCTGATGTTTTTGAACATTATTGTATGTCTAAGCTTTGACCGGGAGTGTAGGAAAACGAAAAAAAAGGAAGCGCTTTTGTGGTGGTACGTGTATTTTGAATCCAATTCTGTAGGTTACCTGTGAATTTGTTTCCTATTCGAGCACCGTCCAGCCAAATCGAAGACCAGGGGGCTCCAGTCCAGAGCATCCTCCAATCTCCCTTGGGGTTCGCTGGTTGGCTGGCTGTGGAGTGGACCGTAGTGCAAAGCAGACACCTAGACTAGACGAAGCACGCGTGACGCGCCTCGATTTATCCTCTCCTCTCCTCTCCTCTCCTCTCCTCTCGTCTCGTCTCGTCTCATCTTTCCTTCCTCCCCTCCTAGCCATTGGTTCTGCTTTTGCTGCTGCTTTCCGCAGGCTTCCAGCACATCTTTCTGGTTTTGAATTTCTCGCACCCATTTTGGAAATCATTGTTTTTAGGGCACTGTACGCCTGGGCACTCGAGTGCCCATCACATATGACAGATGACAGCCAAGAAATCCAGACTGCGAGAACGTGCGGCTGCACATTGCTCCAAGCGCCGTGGTGGAGCAATGCGAAGGAGCATTCGTTGCTCTGTGACGCTCCTAATCGCTGATCCGTCGAATCAAATACGTGTAGCTGAGTACCTTATCTCTTATGGCTGTCGATCACACGTTCGGTCGCATGGCTTACAGGCCGTATCTAATAAAAATCGCGAAAGACACTCTTATCTGCCTCGACCGTTAGCACAAGCGTAGCTCGAATATTCCCCTTCGCTCCATTTCGCCTGGAAGCGACTTATCCAAAAGACCAGATGCTTTTATTTCTTCTTATCTCCGGCATTTGAATCAGCAGACACTACCCTGCCCGCTCAGTGCTCACAGACACGAGAGTCTAGACGAAGCATTTCCAGCTCCGCCTGACCGTCACGGATACTAATAGACTACGTCAATGGACGCATAACTAGGGTAGATTAGAATACCTTAATGTTATTAGGTTAAAGCCGCTTCGAAATAGTGTGCATTGACTACGAACGCATCGGCCTTGGAAACCCGTCGGTTTCCGAACGCGTCGATACTTTAACGCCGCATCGGTTCTTAAACGCCGCGTCGGCCTCGCCGCAAAAGCGATGTTCAACCGCGGGAGGAAGATCGTGACTAAGGTTGCGGTGAGCGCGGACGCGCAGCTGCAGCAGCGGTTCGAAGAGAAGGAGCGAGAACGGGAGCGGGAGAGGCGGGAGAAGGAGCGAGAAAAACCGGGCCGGCCGACGGAGTGGGATTATCTGACGACCGTCGTGCAGCAGAACCGCGTCGCGCAGCGAAAGGTACGTCACGGTAGTAAAGGAGAAAATGCGTGTATCAGATAACGGGAAAATGTAGGCCGAAAGGGAAGCATTGACTCCGAAAAGGGAGAGGGACGGCAGAGTGGGATTATCTGACGACCGTCGTTCAGCAGAACCGCGTCGCGCAGCGGAAGGTGGATGCGTGGATAACGGCGGAAGGTACGTCGCTGTAGAAACGGGCGAAAGGGAAGTTTTTCTTAAGCCTTTTTTTTGGGGGGGGGGGGGGGAAGAACGCACGCAGTGGAGGGGTGGAGAGACCGTGAAACGCCCAGAGAGTGAGAGAGGGACGGACGGCGGACTGAGTGGGGCCATTTGACGTCCGTCGTGCAGCAGAATCGCGTCGCGCAGCGGAAGGTGTGTTGCTGCTGGACAGGGCGAAAGGTGGGTAACGAGTAAAGGGAAAATGTTAAGCATTAGATGAAAAATGTAAGCATTGAATAAAAAATGTAAGCATTAAATAAAAAATGTAAGCATTAGATGAAACACGTAAGCATTAGAGAAAATTGTAAGGATGTAGCGAAGGATACAGTGATTTAGGACGTAGAGGACGATAACCGGCTTGACCTGGCCGTGTGTACAGTAAATGCACGCATTTAGAGGAATAATGTAAGCACGGAGCGAAGGATACAGTAATTTAGGACGCTAAAGGACCCTGCGGAACGGGGATGGCTGACGGAATGGGGACGGCGGAAGCGTACTGAGGCTCGCTGCACGGTGAAGAGCGCAATGTCCGGGTAGCGCGCAAGGTGCGGCGAAGCGCGCAATGTGCGGCGAAGCGCGCAATGTGCGGCGAGCACGCAATGTACGGCGCGCGCAATGTACGGCGCGCACACTTGTACGGCGCGCGCGTTGCGAGGCATCCCCCTCCGTGATCCTTCCGCCTTGCCTCCCTGCTTCCCCGCTGCCCAAACCAACGCTATCAACCCTACACCCCTCGTGCCCCCACCTCTCCCTTCCTCCCCCCTCCCCCCCCGTTTTCCCCCACAAACCAAATTCCCGCTTCCCCCTATTTGTTCCCATTTACCCCTCCCCCCTATCCGGTCCCATTTCCCCCTCCCCCCTATCCGGTCCCATTTCCCCCTTCCCCCTATCCGTCCCCATTTATCCCTTCCCCTATCCGTCCCCATTTATCCCTTCCCCTATCCGTCCCCATTTATCCCTTCCCCTATCCGTCCCCATTTATCCCTTCCCCGTATCCGTCCCCATTTATCCCTTCCCCGTATCCGTCCCCATTTATCCCTTCCCCGTATCCGTCCCCCGAACTCCCCGCAGCTCCAGGCAATTGCGGGGGCGGAATCCTCCCCCGCAGCCGCGCCAACAGCCGCTGCCGCGCCTTCAGCTGCGCCTGCGGGGGGGAAGGCGGAGGCAGAGGCGGAGGAGGATCAATCCAACGGTGGAGATGTGCAGTCGTACACGCAGCACGCTCAACGGCCAGGATTTATCCAATCGCACGGCTCTCTGCTGTTCCTGGAAGAGCGGAGCTACAGAATCCTGGCTGTAGCAGATAATATCTTTGACTTTTTTGACCAGCCAGAGACCGAGGGTCGGGGCGAGGAGGGGAAAGGGGAACGGACGGAGGGCGGGGAAGGGGCGGGGGGAAGGGAGGGCGGAGTCGGATCGGCGCAAGGAGAGGGGCGGGAAGATGGTGGGGACGGGGCAAGGGAAGAGGCGGAAGGAGGAGGGGGGAAGGAAGGGGCGGTGAGGAGTCTTCTGGGCCAATCATGTAGTTGCTTGTTGACGGAGCAGGTAAGGATGACTCTGTGATGTGACTTTCACGTCAACCGTATAGCTGCTTGATAACAGCCTGAGGGAAAGGCCGGAGTGGGGAAGAGGGTGCGGGAGGGGAGGGGAGAGGCCGTGAGGAGTTGGCTGGGCCAACCGTATAGCTGCTTGATAACAGCCTGAGTGTGAGAGCTCAGATCCGCAGCTGTCGAACCCCATTCTGATCAACATGTGTGCATGCTTAAACAACCTCTCCACCCCTCTCCGCCCCTCCTCACCTCCACAGACGTTTTCCTGCCTGGTGGCGGCGTGTGAGAGTTCGGATCCGCAGCTGTCGAACTCCATCCCCCAACTATCCCCACCCATCCCCACCGCTCCCCATCCCGCCCAGCCCCTCTCCACCCCTCCACACCACCCTCTCCTCGGACGTTTGCCTGCCTGGTGGCGGCGTGTGAGAGCTCGGATCCGCAGCTGTCGAACCCCTTCCTGATCAACATGTGTGCATGCTTAAACGACCTTCTCCACCCCTCTCCATCCCTCCCCACCCCCAACCCCTCCCCTCCTCACTGCCCTCTCCTCAGACTTTTGCCTGCCTGGTGGCAGCATGTGAGAGCTCGGATCCGCAGCTGTCGAACCCCTCTCTCCCTTTTTCCATTCCCCCTATCCCACCCCTCCCAACCCCTCCCAACCCCTCCTCACCCCAAACAGACATTCGCATGCCTGGTGGCGGCGTGTGAGAGCTCGGATCCGCAGCTGTCGAACCCCATCCTGATCAACATGTGTGCATGCTTAAACGACCTTCTCCACCCCTCTCCATCCCTCCCCACCCCCTCCCTTCTCTCAACAGACTTTTGCCTGCCTGGTGGTGGCGTGTGAGAGCTCAGATCCGCAGCTGTCGAACCCCATTCTGATCAAGACAGTGCGACGAGGTGAGAGAGAGGGAGGCGAGAGGTGGGGGAGGGAGGGAGGTGAGGAAAAGGTGGGAGAGAAAGAGGTAAGCTCGGATCCGCAGCTGTCCAATCCCACTATGATCGAAACGGTCCGACGAGGTGAGATGGAGGGAGGCGTGTGAGTGACGGATGGGAGGACAAGGAGGGAAGGAAGGGTGGGGAGAGAGGGATGTGAGCTTCGATCCGCAGCTGTCGAACCCCATTCTGACCAAGACTGGTAGACAAGGTGGGGAGTGGGCTACAAGGTGAGAGGAGGGGCAAGGGAGTGAAGAGGGAACGTGACAGGCAACGAAAGTGCCTTTTCCTTCTCTTCCATACCCCATTTCTCCTCCCCTTACTCCCCCTCCTCCCTCTCTTTCGCCCTCCCCCAGCCCGCCCCCTGTACGCCATAGTGCATCGCACTGACGAGGGCCTGGTGGTTGACATAGAGCCGTGCGTGGGAGGGGAGGCGTGGGCTGAGAGGTGGAAGAAGAAAGGTGGAAAGGCGGCAGCGTGTGCAAGTGACGCACGAGGAAAGACAAGTAGCGGCATCGCGGGTGCGTCTGGAACGGGTGGGAAGGGGAAGGAAGGGGCAGCAGCTGAGTCGAATCAAAAGGGTGGGGAGGGGAAGGATGGAGCGGCGTCGTGGAGGTGTCTTAATGGGTATGTGCAGGTTGATGGTGGTGATGAGAGCATTCAAAAGGAAGGGAAGAAGGAGGAGAAAGGGGAGGGGGAGGACAAACCGGAAGAGGAGGGAAGAAGAAAGGGGAGGAGGAGGGGAATAAAGTTGAGGAGGAGGGGAATAAAGTTGAGGAGGAGGGGAATAAAGGGGAGGAGGAGGGAAAGAAAGGGGAGGAAGAGGAGGAAGAGGAGGAAGAGGAGGAAGAGGAAGTGGATATGTCGATGCTGGAGTGGTCAGCTCTGGACAAGCACGAGAGGACGAGTGCGAGCATTGCCAAGCTGCAGGACATTGATGACGACATGCCCAAGCTCTGCGACACACTGGTGCAGGTGGGTGAGAGAGAGGCCCCTTGGGACCTCCTCCTCTTGAGTCCTTGTCCTCTTATGGTTCTGCTCCACCGCTCGACAAGCACGAGAGGACGAGTGCGAGCATTGCCAAGCTGCAAGACATTGACGACGACATGCCCAAGCTCTGCGACACACTGGTGCAGGTTAGTAAGAGGGAGAGATTCCTTAGCTACTCCCCTTGAGTCCTCCCCATGAGACCATGCCCTCCAGCACACACCAAGCTGCAGGACATTGATGATGACATGCCCAAGCTCTGTGACACCTTGGTTCAGGTGAGACAGGAAGACCCCTTGAGTCCAGTTCCCCGTGCAGGGCAGGTTGACACTCTCCTGGTGCTCTCCCTCCAGCACACGCCAAGCTGCAGGACATTGTTGACGACATGCCCAAGATCTACGACAATCTGGTTCAGGTGAGGACATACATTGCCTGTGACGTGGAATGGCAATCAAGCTGACCGAGTGCTGCTGAACGCATTCCCAAACATCCCCTCCCCTCCTTCTCCCCCTTGTCTCCCACACACTTTTCTTCCCCTCTCTCCTTACAACTTTTACCCCTTATCTCAGGAATTGCGGGAACTGGCAGGGTATGACCGGGTGCTGTCTGTACTGATTCCATTTCGTGAGGCCTTATGTGTGCGTGGTTGTTGTGAGGATTTTCATAAGCTCCCGCTCCCCCTCACCCCCCTCTTTTCTTGCCTTCTGGAATTGCGGGAGCTAGCAGGGTATGACCGGGTGCTGTCTGTACACATTCTCAAATCCTTCCCTCTTCCCAGCTACGTGGATATTTCTTTTGAGAATTCTCAAAAGAAATATCCACGTAGCTGTCTGTACACATTCTCAAATCCTTCACTCTTCCCACCTTCCCGCTTCCTCACCTCCCCTCCGTCCTCGTGCCCCTCGTTCCCGCTACCTCAGGAGCTGAGGGAACTGGCAGGGTATGACCGAGTGCTACTGTAAGCATTCTCATATCCCCCTCCCCTCCTCCTCCCCCTTGTCTCCCACGCCCTCTTCTGCCCCTCTCTCCTTCCCCCCTATCTCAGGAGCTGAGGGAACTGGCAGGGTATGACCGAGTGCTGCTGTATCGATTTCATGAGGATTTGCACGGGGAGGTGCGTGGAAGAGACCAAGTCGGGGGACTTTTGAGGCTCATCAAAACTCCCTCGTCTCTTCCACGCCCTCCTCTTTCCCCCAACTCCCCTTATTTCAGGAATTGCGGGAGCTGGAAGGGTATGACCGGGTGCTACTGTACCGATTCCACGAGGATTTGCACGGGGAGGTGGTGGCAGAGGCTAAGTCGGAGGCTCAGGCGTCGCTGCTGGGCCTGCACTACCCTGCGACTGACTGCCCTCAGGTGAGGTGCGGTGATGTGCGGTGCAATGCGGTGAAGTGCGTGAGGTGCGTGTCTTTCTCCCAGGTGGTGGCAGAGGCCAAGTCGGAGGCTCAGGCGTCTCTGCTAGGGCTGCACTACCCCGCCACTGACTGCCCCCAGGTGAAGTGCGGTGCAGTGCGGTGAGGTGCGGTTGGGTGTCTTGCTCCCAGGTGGTGGCAGAGGCCAAGTCGGAGGCCTAGCGTCGCTGCTAGGGCTGCACTACCCCGCCACTGACTGCCCTCAGGTGAGGTGCGGTGATGTGCGGTGCAATGCGGTGAAGTGCGTGAGGTGCGTGTCTTGCTCCCATGTGGTGGCAGAGGCCAAGTCGGAGGCTCAGGCGTCGCTGCTGGGGCTGCACTACCCCGCCACTGACTGCCCCCAGGTGAAGCGCATTGCAGTGCGGTGGGGTGCGGTTGGGTGTCTTGCTCCCAGGTGGTTGCAGAGACCAAGTCAGAGGCTCAGGCGTCGCTGCTAGGGCTGCACTACCCCTGCCACTGACTGCCCCCAGGTGAAGTGCGGTGCAGTGCGGTGGGGTGCGGTTGGGTGTCTTGCTCTCAGGTGTGCAGAGGCCAAGTCGGAGGCTCAGGCGTCTCTGCTGGGGCTGCATTACCCCGCGACTGATTGCCCCCAGGTGAAGTGCGGCGCAGTGCGGTGAAGTGCGGTAGGTGCGTGTCTTGCTCCCAGGTGGTTGCAGAGGCCAAGTCAGAGGCTCAGGCGTCGCTGCTGGGACTTCACTACCCCGCCACTGACTGCCCCCAGGTGAAGTGCGGTGCAGTGCGGTGAGGTGCGATTGAGTGTCATGCTGCTTGGTGTTGTGCGGTGATGCATATTGGGCACACTCTCAGGTGAAATGTGGTCAAGTGAAGTGGAGTGCGGTGACGTGACCCTCAGATGCACACACGTGCATTCATTCCCTTCAATCTTCATTTCAGGAATTCAGTTCTTTAATCATTTCAGAAAATCAGTTCTTTTCTTCATTTCAGGAATTCCGTTCTTTCTTCATTTCAGGAATTCCGTTCTTTCTTCATTTCAGAAATTCAGTTCTTTCCTCATTTCAGGTTCTTCCTTTTCCAAATTGCCTGTTACTTCACCCCTCTCCCTTCTCTTCCATGTGTCTTTCTGATCCGCCTTCCATCCTTTGCAGATCAACCGTACAATGTTTGTAGATGTGCGGCTGAGATTGATCGCAGACGTCACGGCGCCCGATGTGCACATCATCCAGCACCCCTCGCTCAGCAAGAACATCAACCTGTCCAGGTCAACACTCAAAGGTGCGGGTAGTGTGAGTCAACTTTAGTCAACACAAGTCAACGCACGTGTTGAGACGCCCAGAAGATGCCACGGCACCAGATGTGCATATCATCCAGCACCCCTCGCTCAGCAAGAACATCAACCTGTCCAGGTCAACACTGAAAGGTGCGCATGAGTCAACTCAAGTCAACAGACGGGTCAAGGCAAGTGTTGAGATGGCTATAAGTTGCTGCAATGTTCAATATGACGTGCATATCATCCAGCACCCCTCCCTCAGCAAGAACGTCAACCTCTCAAAATCCACACTGAAAGGTGAGTCAACAGGAGTCAATGCAAGTCAATGCAAGGGTTAAGATGTCCAAAAGCTGTTGCGGCGCCCGATGTGCACATCATACTGCGCCCCTCCCTCAGCAAGAGCATCAACCTGTCCAGGTCAACACTGAAAGGTGCGGGTAGTGTGAGTCAACTTAAGTCAACACAAGTCAACGCACATGTTGAGACACCCAGAAGATGCCACGGCACCCGATGTGCATATCATCCAGCACCCCTCCCTCAGCAAGAACATCAACCTGTCCAGGTCAACACTGAAGGGTGAGTCAGCACAATTCGATGCAAGCAAGTCAACTTTCAACGGTTGGTCAACGCAGACCAATCCAAGCAAGTACAAGTCAACGCGAGTCAACGCCCCCCTCTCCCCTCCACCAGGCGTGGCCAGCTGTCACAAGGAGTATTGCACCAGCATCGGCATTGAGGCTTTCTCTAGTCACAGCTGTGGTGGTAACCACAAATTAGCAAAAGTCAACGCAAGTCAACCCAAGTCAGCACCCCTCCCCTTCTCCCCCACCAGGCGTGGCCAGCTGCCACAAGGAGTACTGCGCCAACATCGGCATCGGGGCCTCTCTGGTGATGGCGGTGGTGGTAACCACGCGCGGCCCGCAGAGCACGAGTGTGCGCAAGCTGTGGGGGTTGGTGGTGTGCCACCACATGTCGCCGCGCTTCCTGCCGTATCCACAGCGGTTCGCGTGCGACTTTCTCCTACAGGTGAGCTCTTATAACTCTAACTAGGTGAGTTGATCAGGGAGCAGCAAAGCAAGCTGTGGGGGCTAGTGGTATGCCACCACATTTGAGGCGCCTCAAAAGTTGATTGGTTGATGGCGGATCACGAGGCAAGCAAGCGAGCTGTGGGGGCCGGTGGTATGCCACCACATGTCGCCGCGCTTCCTGCCGTATCCTCAGAGATTCGCCTGTGATTTCCTGCTGCAGGTGGGTCAATGGGTGGGTGAGTGGGTGACTGGGCTCTGGTTGATCAGGGAGCAGCAGCAAGCTGTGGGGGCTGGTGGTATGTCACCACATGTCGCCGCGCTTCCTGCCCTACCCCCAGAGATTCGCTTGTGATTTCTTGCTGCAGGTGGGTGAACGGGTGGCTGCGTGGGTAGGTAATGTCAGAAATAGGCTTAGAAGCGATGCATTAGTAATGAGCTTGAAGCTCTTTAAGTACATCCAAGAGGGGTAGGAAAAGGATGGGGAAGGGAATCGGGGGCAATCTCTAGGGATTGGGGGTAATCCCAAGGCAATCTCCAATTGGTGGGTTGGAGATTGGTTGGAGATTACATTTGGGTTTGGTTGGGATGTAGGTGTACACCCAACCAAACACAATGTGCAAACTACACTACTCTAGGATATAGAAAATACAAAGTACAAATTGTGAGATTGAAGACTAACACTAACACCCCCCCATAGGCGTCAATCGAACTCAGGGTAGAGAGGGTGGAGCACAGAGCCCCATGGCGCCAAGGAGACGGTGGTGGGGAACTTTCCCAAGGGGCTTGGTGAACAGATCAGCCAGGTTGCAGTCAGATGCAACGTATTCCACTTTCAACTGCTCTTGTTGGACAAGGTCACGGATGAAGAAGTGCCGGAGTTCAATGTGCTTGGTGCGGGTGTGATACACAGGGTCTTGAGAGATGTGGATGGTACTCTGGTTGTCACACCAGAGGGTAGGGGCGGACTGTGGGAAACCAAGTTCCTGGAGGAGGAAGGTGAGCCAACGAGCCTCCTGAGCAGCCATGGTGCCTGCGTAGAGCTCTGCCTCACATGAGGAGAGGGAGACTGCAGACGACCTGGTGGAGCGCCAACTGACAATTCCGCTCCCAAGGGTGAAGCAGTACCCCTGAGAGGAGCGTCGGTCGGTCTGGTCATCAGCCCAGGAGGAGTCGGTGTAACCCTCTAGGCGAGGAGGGGAGAGCCCACCGAGTGTGAGGACGTGAGACTTGGTGCCCTGAAGATAGCGCAACACCCGCTTGGCTGCCTTCCAGTGAAGGTCAGTGAAGCGTCCAGGGGCCACGTAGCGAGAGAGGACACTGACAGGATAGGCCAGGTCTGGCCGGGTGCACATCATGGCGTACATGAGGGACCCAACAAGCTCCGGGTATGGCTCAGAGCAGGCCTCTGGTGTGGGTACCGCTGGAGCTGTGAGGAGGTGTTGCAGCGGCAGCGGGGTGGCAACAGGTGTGCATAGCTCCATCTCAAATCGCTTGAGCACATTGTCGATGTAGAACTCCTGGGAGAGTGAGATGGTGCGAGCCTTGCGATCACGAGTGATCTCCATCCCCAGGTAGTGCTTGAGGTCACCGAGGTCTTTCATCTGGAGAGCCTTGCTTAGGGCTGCCTGGACTGAGGTCATCTGGGCCGAGTCCTTGGCCACGAGGATGAAATCATCCACGTAGACTAGGATGTAGAAGGGCTCAGAATGACGGCGGATGAAGAGAGTCGGGTCAGCAGTTGAAGGGTGGAAGTCCAGGGAGAGGAGGACTTCTTTCACCTTGTTGTGCCATTCGCGAGGGGCTTGCTTAAGGCCGTAGACGGGGCGATTCAGCTTCCAGACAGTGTTGGGAGGGAAATCTCCTGGGAAGCCTTCTGGTCTGTCCATGAACACTGTCTCCTTGAGACGTCCTTGTAGGAAGGCGGATGAGGCATCCATGGATTTGATCTCGAAGTCTTCTCGAGCTGCGACATCCATGAGCGTACGAATGGTGGGAGGTTTGGATGTGGGGGAGAAGGTTAGGAAGAAGTCGCGGTACTGCTGCTGGGTGAAGCCCTTGGCTACGTAGCGCGCTTTAAACACCGGTGCCTCGTCTGGGAGCTGTTTTACACGGAACAACCACTTGCCCCCGACGATGTTGACTCCTGGAGGTGGAGTCTCGTCGTCGAAGGAGTGGTTGCGGGTGAATGCTGCAATCTCCGCGTCCATGGCAGCACGCCATTTGGCAGAATGAGGGCCTGAGAGAGCCTCTTGGACGGTGAGAGGGATAGGGATGGTCGGGTTCTCCGCGAAGTTGAGGGAGGGTGAGCCAGTGATGTCGGGGAAGATGTGTGAGAGCTGAGGAAGGACTGCATGGAGATCACACAGTTCCTCATGCCTGTCTTCTAGAAGGGTAGAGGGCACATCCCCCCCAGCAGGAGGAGGCGGTGTGATCGCGGTGTATCGAAGAACCATCGCGAGTGGAAGAGTAGCGCGATGTGAGCGAGTGCCATGAGCCACCGGGGAAGAGGGTGGGGCTGGCGGGGTCGGAGAGGGTGACTTAGCAGGCTTGGGCGGGGGAAGGGGTCGCCGGCGGTACGTGATCAGCTCGGGCGACTGTGGGAGAGCGGGTTCCTCTGTGGTGGGGGGAGCCGGGGGAGGAGGTGGGGCCGGAGGGTGGGACCGCCGATGGTAGGTGATAGGTGCGCTCGGAGGGGGCGGCGCAGCGGGAAGTGGGGAAGGTGAGGGGGAGGGAGGAGCAGCTGCCGAAGACACCGGTGAGGCCGGGTCAGTGACCTCAGAGGGAGATGGTGCGATGGCAGGAGAGGGAGGAGGTGAGGGAGCAGGAGCAGGCGGGAGGTCGGGAGGCGCATCAAAGTCTGCCCACACGAGGGAGGGTGGATCAGGGAGAGGGTCCCGTCCCGAAGGGGAGTAGAATGGGCGGGTCTCATCAAAGACAACGTCACGGCTCCTGACCAACTGGTGAGTGGAGGGATTGAGGAAGAGGTAGTCAGGTGAGTCGGCGTTGTGCCCGAGGTAGATGCACGTCTGAGTCTTGGGACCGAGCTTGCCACCGTTATGCCGTCGAGCCTGAGGGTTGAGGAGGACATAGGCGGTGCATCCCCAAACGCGAAGAGAGCGAGCAGTGGGCGTTTTCCCGAGCCAGAGTGTGGTTGGAGTGGTGTCGGGAAGGTGCGGGTGGGGGTAAAGGTTGTAGAGGAGGGCAGCGTGGTAGAGAGCGTACCCCCAAAGAGAGTGAGGAGCGTTGGAGTGGCTGAGGAGGCACCGAGTGATCTGCACCAGGGTGTGGTTGCGGCTCTCAGCTATGCCGTTCTGTTGAGGGCTGTCAGGGAGGGTGAAGTTTTGCTGGATGCCTTCGGAGGAGCAGAAGGCTTTGAGCTTGTCGTTGCAGAACTCACCCCCCCCATCCGAGTGAAGGCGCTTGACCTTGCGGTCAAAAGTGGTCTGTGCCTGCTTGACCCACGCTATGATGACCTCGGGTGCCTCAGCCTTAGTGTGGAGGAGGTGAACAGAGACATAGCGGGAGTGGTCATCCACAATGATAAGGAAGTAGCGATAGCCACCTCGTGCGAGAACAGGGGCAGGGCCCCAGACGTCCATGTGCACGAGGTCCAGTGGTGCTGCAGCGATTGTGGGTGAGGCAGCATGGGGCTGTTGGCGCAGTTTGCTCTTGGTGCAATCAAGGCACGTGGGAGCTGGTGAGTCAGGTGGTGGGGGAAGTGCGGCTGGCAGGCCGAGGAGAAGTTTCTTGGAGGCCATGTCAGCAAGAGTGCGGAAATTTGGGTGCCCGAGCCGATGGTGGTAGAGGATGGTCGGGTTGGAGAGGGTGCGACATGAGCATGGTGTGATAGTGGCCTGTGCTTGGGTGGTTGACACCTGTGGGAGAGGGACGCGTAGCGTGTAGAGGCCGTTGCTGTTGAGGGTGTAGCGGGCCAGAGTTTTGTTGGTGCGTGGATCGATGATGTCGCAATAGTCCTCGTTCTCTGGGAAGATGGTGCGTAGCCCTGCCTCCTGAATTTCTGTTTGGGCAACTAGATTGTGACGCAGTGAAGGCACGCACATGCCAGTGACAGTGCCGGATGGGAAGGCGGGGCATGGGACTGTGGAGGTACCCTTGGCGAGGGTGGTGAAGCTTGAGTCAGCTCCTAAGAGAGGGATAGGTGTTGGGTAAGGTTTGAAGGAGAGGGTCTCCTTGAGCACGGTGTGAGTGGCCCCGCTATCGAGTGTGAACTCTATGTATTGTGGTGCGTGTGATGAGCCGATGTACTGTGAGGTAGCTTCATTAATCATGGCAGTGCCAGGGAACAACAGGTTGATACGCACATCAGCAGGAGCAGCATCACTAGCACTAGTCGAAGCGGGGTCCTGGACCTCAACTAGGTTGGCCTTGCGAGAGCGCATCCAATTCGGCGGCTTCTTGTCCACTCCGTGAATGGCGTACCATTCGTCGTCTTTCTTCTTGAAGCACGTGGCGAGGGGGTGGTTAGTGCCACCACACACTTGTCCCTTGCGATTCCCATACTTGACGACGTAGGGGCACGGAGGAAAGCGGTTGCGCTGGAAGGGCGCCGAGGCGAGAGCCGCTGCGACACTTGCTTGAGGCATGGGAGCGCGGATAGCGTACGCCTTGGCCTGAGCCGTGGAGTCTTTCTCGGCAGAGAGGAGTGCGGTGGAGACCTTAGCAAAGGTGAGGTCCTCTGCTGAGAGTGTGAGGAGCATCTTCCTCGTGACCTCATATGCCGAGGTGAGTCCAACAAGTAGGGCGGCTGCAGGGGCTTGCTCGGGGAAGACTATACCCAGCTCCTTGAGTTCGCCATGAATGGTCTGCACCTTGGCAATGTAATCGGCCATTCCCGAGCAGTCCTCAAGGCGGACCTGAAACATGCTAGGGATGAGAATGGCCACGCCGACCGCCGTCTTGTTCATGAACCGATCCTGGAGGTACTTCCAGATGGCGTTGGAGGTAGGGTAGTTATGGAACGTGTTGACAAGTTCGGGAGGGGTGGAGGCGATGAAGACGCTGATGATGGCAGCATCGGCCTTCTCCCATTTCCGGTACTTCTCAACAGCCTCCTCGTACGCCCTCACGTCAGTATCACTTGGAGATTCGGTCGGCTCACGGGGAATAGTAGGCTGTTTCCCCTTGCCACGGTTGAGGAGGACGTCCTTGAGGTCAAGGCCCTGCACGTCACGGCTCAGGAGGTGCTTGTCAACTCCGTAGCTCCACGCCTTGAAGTTGGAGCTAGAGCCATCAGCTTCAAGGCGGAGCGGGGTGATGGGGTTCGCCATGGTGGAAGACGAGAGAGCCATGGTGGAGACCCCTTCTCGCGCGGAGCGCCGCTCTTAAGTCACCGATAGGAACTTCACGTAGAAGGTTTTTTTTTTTCTTTTCTTTTCTTTTCTTTTCTTTTCAGGCCGCCAAAATTAGGTCGAATCGGCCGATTTCCGTAGATCTATCACTAATCCCACACATCCCCCCACACACCACCCTCGGCTTCGCGGCTACACGGCTGCTCTGCTTCGCGGCTACACGGCTGCTCGGCTGCGCTGCTGCACCTGTTCAGCTGCGGGAAGGGGGAAGGGGTAGGAGTGCAGATGCGGGGCGACGGGCGGCAGCCCGACGTGAAGCTGCGGGGCGACGGGCGGCGGCCCGACGAGAAGCTGCAGGGCGACGGGCGGCAGCCCGACGAGAAGCTGCGAGGCGACGGGCGGCGGCCCGACGTGAAGCTGCGAGGCGACGGGCGGCGGCCCGACGAGAAGCTGCAGGGCGACGGGCGGCGGCCCGACGAGAAGCTGCGGGGCGACGGGCGGCGGCCCGACGTGAAGCTGCGAGGCGACGGGCGGCGGCCCGACGAGAAGCTGCAGGGCGACGGGCGGCAGCCCGACGAGAAGCTGCAGGGCGACGGGCGGCGGCCCGACGAGGAGGAAAGCGAGCGTTAGGTTATAGCGCGGACGATGCGCTTACCAGATAAATTACCGTCGAAAGTGACGGGAAGGTGCAGCGGGAAAATTTCCGCCGACGAATGTCGCGAATCACCGGCGACGAGGTTGACGATGGCTTCGCCGAGGTTTGCGGGACGAGTATCCGCAGAGGTAAGAAGATCACGATCCGCGTATGCGGTTGAAGGGCTCTGATACCATGTCAGAAATAGGCTTAGAAGCGATGCATTAGTAATGAGCTTGAAGCTCTTTAAGTACATCCAAGAGGGGTAGGAAAAGGATGGGGAAGGGAATCGGGGGCAATCTCTAGGGATTGGGGGTAATCCCAAGGCAATCTCCAATTGGTGGGTTGGAGATTGGTTGGAGATTACATTTGGGTTTGGTTGGGATGTAGGTGTACACCCAACCAAACACAATGTGCAAACTACACTACTCTAGGATATAGAAAATACAAAGTACAAATTGTGAGATTGAAGACTAACACTAATAGGTAAATGGGTAAATGGGTAAATGGGTCCGTGGGTAGGTGAATGGCTGTGGGGGCTGGTGGTATGTCACCACATGTCGCCGCGCTTCCTGCCCTACCCGCAGCGATTTGCCTGTGACTTCCTCATGCAGGTGGGTGGGAGTGGGTGGGTCTTTGCTCACCAGATGTTGCTCTTTGTTGTTGCTATGAGGCATCAGATTAGGGAGTGTTTTTCCGTGCTCATCCGAAAAACACTCCCTCATGACCCCCATCTCTCCCCCATCCCACCCACCCACCTCCATCGCCAGTCTTTTTCCCTACAGCTACCTCGGCAGCCCACCTGTTTATTGGTAACAGTCCTTTGCCCTACAGCTAGCCATGGTGCTTGAGGCAGGAGGGAGTGCAGCGGAGCGACTCAGTTCTGTTCGTTTCTCATACCATCCTCCTCCCCATCTCCCCCCCCCACCAGGCCTTCGCCTTACAACTAGCCATGGAGTTAGAGGCGGCAGAGCATGCAGCGGAGAGGAGAACGATGCAGATGCAGGCGATTCTGTGCGGCATGCTGGCTAGGGATGTCCCACTAGGGCTGGTGCGACAGAGCCCCAACATCAAGGATTTGGTGAGTGGGGAAAGCAAAGACCATGTGAGGGGGAAGGGTTGGGTGTAGCAATCAGCTGAGAGGCGCACGATGCAGATGCAGGCGATTCTGTGTGGCATGCTGGCTAGGGATGTCCCACTGGGACTGGTGCGACAGAGCCCAAACATCAAAGACCTGGTAAGAAGGGAAGAGGACGGGGGGAGGGCAAGGAAAGTATTTGAGGGGCACAAGGTGCAGATGCAGATGCAGGCCATTCTGTGTGGCATGCTGTCCAGGGATGTACCCCTGGGACTGGTGCGACAGAGCCCAAACATCAAAGACCTGGTGAGTGATAAAAGGTTGTGAATGGAATGGAACTAGGATGTAGGAGAGAGCATGCAGCGGAGCGACACACGATGCAGATGCAGGCCATTCTGTGCGGCATGCTGGCGAGAGACGTGCCGCTGGGGCTGGTGCGACAGAGCCCAAACACCAAGCACCTGGTAAAGAGAAGACGGGTGGGGAGAGGGTGCTTGGAACCAGAAAGTGGTAGAGCGGTGGATGATGCAGATCACTCCCTCCCACACTCCCTCCCCCTCCCTACCTCACTCCCTCACTCTCACCGTCACACCCAACCCCACTCATGCTCCTCCACGTGCCATCGGACAGGGCGACATCATACCTGTCCCATGTGTTTGCCCTTTGTTCTCCCCCCCTTTCCCCCCCTCCCAGGTGCCATCGGACAGGGCGGTGCTGCTGCATGCGGGCAGGGCATGGTAACCACAAGTCAACACAATTCAACACGAGTCAACGCCCTCCCTCCCTCCCCCCCTCTCCCCCCCAGGTGCCATCTGACGGGGCGGTGCTGCTGCATGCGGGCAGGGCGTGGTGGGTGGGGGCGTGCCCATCAGAGGAAGACATGAAGGAGATAGCGCGCTGGCTGCGACTCAAAGACACCCACCTGCTCCAACACACCGCCTTGTCTCTCCCACCCACTCCCTCCCTCTTGCTTGCTCCCTCTCCCACTCCCTCCCTCCCGCGCTCCCCCCCTCCCCCCCCCCAGGTGCCATCGGACGGGGCGGTGCTGCTGCATGCGGGCAGGGCGTGGTGGGTGGGGGCGTGCCCATCAGAGGAAGACATGAAGGAGATAGCGCGCTGGCTGCGACTCAAAGACACCCACCTGCTCCACCACACCACACCGCCTCTCCCACCCACTCCCTCCCTCTTGCTTGCTCCCTCTCCCGCTCCCTCCCTCCCTCCCTCCCCCCCTCCCCCCCCCCAGGTGCCATCGGACGGGGCGGTGCTGCTGCATGCGGGCAGGGCGTGGTGGGTGGGGGCGTGCCCATCAGAGGAAGACATGAAGGAGATAGCGCGCTGGCTGCGACTCAAAGACACGCACCTGCTCCACCACACCGCCTTGTCTCTCTCACCCACTCCCTCCCTCTTGCTTGCTCCCTCTCCCACTCCCTCCCTCCCTCCCTCCCTCCCCCCCTCCCCCCCCCAGGTGCCATCGGACGGGGCGGTGCTGCTGCATGCGGGCAGGGCGTGGTGGGTGGGGGCGTGCCCATCAGAGGAAGACATGAAGGAGATAGCGCGCTGGCTGCGACTCAAAGACACCCACCTGCTCCACCACACCACACCGCCTCTCCCACCCACTCCCTCCCTCCCTCCCTCCCTCCCTCCCTCCCTCCCTCCCTCCCCCCCTCCCCCCCCCCCAGGTGCCATCGGACGGGGCGGTGCTGCTGCATGCGGGCAGGGCGTGGTGGGTGGGGGCGTGCCCATCAGAGGAAGACATGAAGGAGATAGCGCGCTGGCTGCGACTCAAAGACACCCACCTGCTCCAACACACCGTCTTTGTGACAAATTCTCTGGAACAAGCGGGACTGCCCTTTGCCTCTCGCCTTGCCCCGGCCGTGTGCGGGCTCGCTGCTGCTATGGTGTCAAGCCGGGGAGACTTCCTCATGTGGTTCCGATCGGGTGAGAGTTCCTTATGTGCTTCATTCATTTCGTTGGGGAGCCTGAGAATCTGCTCTGCTGCGCTGGCTGCGACTCAAAGACACCCACCTGCTCCAACACAGCGTCTTTGTCACCAACTCCCTGGAACAAGCCGGGCTTCCCTTTGCCTCCCGCCTCGCCCCGGCCGTGTGTGGGCTCGCTGCTGCGATGGTGTCGAGCCGGGGAGACTCCCTCATGTGGTTCCGATCCGGTGAGGATTGAAGGTTCAAAGGACTAGGGTGCCTCATGCCTCACGCTGGCCGGCTGTGTGTGGGCTGGCTGCTGCCATGGTGTCGAGCCGAGGAGACTTCCTCATGTGGTTCCGATCAGGTGAGAGTTGGAGACTGTGGTCTCGGGTTTTGGGTTCAGGGTTCAGTTCTTTAATATCAAATGTCTCTTCGCGTCGCGCCTCGCCCCGGCTGTGTGCGGGCTGACTGCTGCCATGGTGTCGAGCCGAGGAGATTTCCTCATGTGGTTCCGGTCCGGTGAGTTGCTCCTCACTGTTTTTGTCACCACCTCTCTGGAGCAAGCCAGCATGCCCTTTGCGTCGTGCCTCGCCCCGGCCGTGTGCGGGCTGGCTGCTGCAATGGTTTCAAGCCGAGGAGACTTCCTCATGTGGTTTCGGTCAGGTGAGGATTGGGGTTTAGGGTTTCGGGTTTAGGGCGACTCAAAGACACCCACCTGCTCCAACACACCGTCTTTGTCACCAATTCCTTGGAGCAAGCCGGCCTGCCCTCTCATCTCCCTCTTTTTTCCAATTACAGGCATTGAGCGCAACATTACCTGGGCAGGGCACAAGGACACTCACACAGTTAGGGAGGGTGCCACCATGCATCCCCATGACTCCATCTCTCCCTTCTCCTCATCTCCCCACCCTCTTTTGTCCCCTCCTTTCCTCCCATTCACAGGCATCGAGCGCAACATTACCTGGGCAGGGCACAAGGACACTCACACAGTGAGGGAGGGCGCCACCATGCATCCTCGCAACTCGTTTGCGGCTTATCTCGAAGTCGTGAAGCTGCAGAGCCAGCCATGGACTGACGCTGAGGTGAGTAATTAAAGAGAGCACAAAACCGCAAAGAACCGCACGTAATCGCACAGAACTGCATATAGCCGCACAGAAGGACTCGTTACCCCACCCCTCGTCCCCACCGCTAACTGTCTCCACTCCTTCAACCCCCCCCCCCCCCCCAAACCCTCCACACTCCTCTCTCCCAGGTGGACGCCATGCAAGGGCTGCGCCTCATAGTGAAGGATTCACTACCCCACCCCGAGCCTCAAGACCTGAAGCTGAAGATCCAGGTGAGCGCGTGTTGCTGGCTGGCTGACTCTGAAGTCAAATCGAATGTCAATGGCTTAACACACATGACCTGCGCCTCATAGTGAAGGACTCGCTGCCCCACCCCGAGCCTCAGGACCTGAAGCTGAAGATCCAGGTACGAGTGTGGGCTGGCTGGCAGGCTGGGTTGTTGTAAGTCAATTCACGTGTCGATTCCAGCCAAAGTCGCCTTGAAAGACTCGCTGCCCCATCCGGAACCTCAGGACCTGAAGCTGAAAATCCAGGTAGGAGTGTGTGGCTGGTTGACTTGTAAATTAATTCAAATGTCACTTGCTTAATGTGCAAGGGCTGCGCCTCACAGTGAAGGACTCCTTGCCCCACCCCGAGCCTCAAGACCTGAAGCTGAAGATCCAGGTGAGCGTGGGGGCTGATTGACTTGTAAGTCAATTCAAATGTCACTTGCTTAACACACATGACCTGCGCCTCATGGTCAAGGACTCCTTGCCCCACCCCGAACCACAAGACCTGAAGCTGAAGATCCAGGTGAGCGTGTTTGGGCTGGTTGACTTGTGAGTTAATTCACATGTCACTTGCTTAATGTGCAAGGGCTGCGCCTCATAGTGAAGGACTCGCTGCCCCATCCGGAAAAACAAGACCTGAAGGCTGAAGCTGAAGATCCAGGTGAGAGCGTGTGACTGGCAGGCTACTGAGATTGCTCAATAGTAGCCTGCCCAGTCACACGCTCCTAAGCCCAAAGAAGCTTTCTCAATAGTATTGAGTCGATACACGCCCAAAGTCGCTTTCTCCTAAGATGGCGGTCTTTCTTTCTCCCATCGGCATCAGCAGCGACGGGACCGTCACCGAGTGCAACAGCAAGGCCGCCCACCTCTCCAGCCCCGTTCTCTTTCCACCCTGCCTTGTCTCTCCCTCCCTCCCCTCCTCTCCGCTCCCCTCCTCTCCCTTCCTCTCCCCTCCTCTCCTTGTGCATTCCCTGCCTGCCCGTCCTCCTTGCAGGCCCAGCTGAACGCGGAGAGTCTGACCATCCAGTCCCAGATAAAGGAGGTGGCCAGGTCTCTAGAGAACCAGCTCGAATCAGCCCACACGCCCATCATCGGCATCAGCAGCGACGGCACCGTCACCGAGTGCAACAGCAAGGCCGCGCACTCATCGACCTCTCTCCCTCTTCCACCCTGCCTTGTGCCTCCGCCCCTCCCCTCCTCTCCCCTGCTCTCCTTCTGCCTTCGTTTCCTCTCCCCACTCCACCAGGCCCAGCTGAATGCAGAGCGGCTCACCATCCAGTCCCAGCTAAAGGAAGTCGCTAGGACTCTAGAAAACCAACTCGAATCCGCCCACACGCCCATCATCGGCATCAGCAGCGATGGGACCATGACGGAATTCAACAGCAAGGCCGCGCACATCACGCGGCGGGCCAAAACCGAGGTTCTCGGGAGCAACTTCTTCGCAAGCGTTCTCGCTCCCGAGTCGCACGCGCACTTTGTGGCTGCTATGGAGGTGCTGGCAGAAGGGGAGGACGTCCAGCCGTTTGATGTGGCTCTGCTGGCAAGATCGGCTGAATCTGCTGACGCTGCCGCGGCTGCTGATGCTGCTGCTGGTGGGGGCGGTGGGTCGGCAGCAGCAGGAGGAGCAGGAGCAGCGGCAGGAAGAGGAGGAGGAGGAAGGGGTGGAGGAGGAGAGGGAGGGGCGGTAGGGGAGTTGGATCGGTTGGTGCATGTGTTGGTGAGCGCGTATGGGCAGCACGACCGGCATGGGAACCTGATGAGCGTGCGGCTGATGGGGCAAGACATCACCGCCCTTAAAGTGCTGGCTGGGGAGGTGAGTGAGTAGGGGTGGGTGGCAGGATGGGCACTCTGTTGCTAAGAGGGAGGGTTAGGGAAGGGACGGGCAGCACGACAGGCATGGCAACCTGATGAGCGTGCGGCTGATGGGGCAAGACATCACCGCCCTTAAAGTGCTGGCTGGAGAGGTGAGTAGGGTAATGGGGTGACACGATATGTAGACAGAGGCACAAGGCACAGACCACTTCAATATTCCCAGTCCTCCCCTTCCTCCCTCTCCCCTCCCCGTCCCCCTCTCCTTCCCCCTCCCCCTCCCCCTTCTCCCCCCCCATCCCCTCTCCCTTCCCCTCCCCCTCCCCCTTCCCCCCCTCCTCCCCCTCTTTCAGTACAAGATGCCCGAGGCAGAGGCCCGGGCAGCTGTGGACCAATCGGATCTCTTGGTTTTCACGGTGGACGAGTGCGGGCGGGTGACCGAGTGGAACGCTGCCATGGAGCAGACCAGCGGGCTGCCCCGAGAAAAAGTTGTGGGGAGGCGGCTTGTGGGGGAGGTGCTTAGCAGCAACCCCATGCTGCTGATTCCCGACCAGGTGAGAACCGGTGCTGCTGATGTTTTACCAGGTGAGTTACGGTGCTTGTGGCGTTCCGGAGGTGGCTTGTGGGGGAGGTGCTTAGCAGCAACCCCATGCTGCTGATTCCCGACCAGGTGAGAACCGGTGCTGCTGACGTTTTACCAGGTGAGTTACGGTGCTTGTGGCGTTCCGGAGGTGGCTTGTGGGGGAGGTGCTTAGCAGCAACCCCATGCTGCTGATTCCCGACCAGGTGAGAAGCGGTGCTGCTGATGTTTTACCAGGTGAAAAAACGGTGCTTGTGGCATTTCGGAGGCGGCTTGTGGTGGAGGTGCTTAGCAGCAATCCCATGCTGCTGATTCCCGACCAGATGAGAGAAATGTTGCTGCTGCTCATCATGAGAAGTGAGTGAAGTTGGCTCAGAGAGAAAGCTTCTTGTAGGGAAGGGTTTGAGGTTTAGGGTTGTGGTTTGTTGTGTTGAGGTCGCTTGTAGTGGAGGTGCTTAGCAGCAACCCCATGCTGCTGACTGCTGACCAGGTGGGAGAATGGTGCTGCTGATTCTACACCGGGTAAAGCTGCTTGTGGCTGGGACAGGCTGTTTGTGGGGGAGGTGCTTAGTAGTTTGTGGGGTGAGGTGGCTTGTGGTGTGGGGAAGGTGCTTTGAGAACAGCACCCCGCCAAGCACTGAATGGGAGTGATACAAGGAACCTCGAACTGCAGCTCACTCCCCTTCACATCAACCCTCCCTCACCTCCCCCCTCTCACCGGTCCCACCCAACCTCCTCTCTCCTGCAGGACAATCTGGTGATGTTTGAGATCGCTCTCTGCCAGGCTCTGAACGTGCGGGACATGAGGAACCACGAGCTGCAGCTCACTCCCCTCCACATCATTCCAACTCCCCTTCCCTTTCCCCCTTCCCACCTCCCGCCGGCCCCCTGCACCCCTCAGGACAATCTGGTGATGTTTGAGATTGCGCTCTGCCAGGCACTGAACGGGCGGGACACGAGGAACCACGAGCTGCAGCTGACTCCCCTCCCCCTCCCCCCCCCTCCCTTTCTCTTCTCCCCCAACCTCCGCCCTCAACCCCCCTCCCCCCGCAGGACAATCTGGTGATGTTTGAAATAGCGCTCTGTCAGGCACTGAACGGGAGGGACACGAGGAACCACGAGCTGCATCTCACATCCCATACTAGTGCATCACCTCCCTCTCCCTCCCTTCCTCGTTCTCCCTTCCTCCTCCCCCTTTGCAGGACAATCTGGTGATGTTTGAAATAGCACTCTGCCAGGCATTGAATGGGAGGGACACGAGGAACCACGAGCTGCAGCTCAAGACGTGGGACGGCCGCCCCATGGACACACTCCTGCACATCATCAGCAGGTGCAGTGCGGTGCTATGTGCTGCCATGCGGTAAGGTGTGGTGCAGTGCGGTTTGGTGCATTGCAATGCAGGATAAGCTGGTAACCCTGTTTGAGGCTAAGAATCACGAGCTGCAGCTCAAGACGTGGGACGGCCGCCCCATGGACACTCTCCTGAACATCATCAGCAGGTGCAGTGCGGTGCTGTGTGGTGCAATGTGATTGAGCCGGGGTACAGTGGGCTGCAAGGTGGTCCAGTGCGGTTCTGCGCTGTGATGTGCATGTGGTGGTGCAGAGTGCAGTGCTGTCATGAAGACATTGCAGTGGAATGCGGTGTATTGTGGTGCAGTGTGGTGGAGCAGAGTCTGTGCTGTGTTGTGAGTGGTGGTGGGGAGGCTAGCAGCAGAGAGGTGACCACGTGAGCCAACTGCCTTTCTTCCTCCCTCCTTTCTTCTCCCCTCGCATTCCCATCCCACGGGCGAGCCGGTGGGAGCGACGTGTTTCATTTCATGCAGGTGTGGTGGAGAGGAGAGGAGGGAAGCAGCGAGCTGATCCCGTGCGCCTCTGACTTTGCTTTGCCCCCATTTACCCTTACTTACAGGCGCTCCCCACGGGCGAGCCGGTGGGAGCGACGTGTTTCATTTCATGCAGGTGTGGTGGAGAGGAGAGGAGGGAAGCAGCGAGCTGATCCCGTGCGCCTCTGACTTTGCTTTGCCCCCATTTACCCTTACTTACAGGCGCTCCCCACGGGCGAGCCGGTGGGAGCGACGTGTTTCATTTCATGCAGGTGTGGTGGAGAGGAGAGGAGGGCAGCGGAGAATGCATCGGCAATGAAGATGGTGACAGAGGCGGCTAGTCAGGCCCGCCTCTGCACGCAAGGGAGAATTGAGCATGTAACCCCCTCTTTCCCTCGCTTCCTCTCCTCTCTCTTGCTTCCCGCCTCTCTTTTTCCCTGTTGCCTTCCCTGCAACAGGCGCTCCCCCACAGGCGAGCCGGTGGGAGCGACGTGTTTCATGCAAGACGTTGTGGAGAGGCGGGCAGCGGAGAATGCATCGGCCATGAAGATGGTGGCAGAGGCGGCTAGTCAGGCCAAGACCATGCAGCTGGCATGTCTGTGCCATGAGGTGAGGGTGGTGAACGTAGGGGTTGAGTGCGGTGAAGAGAGGTGAAAGGAGGAGTTGGTATGGGCAGTGGAGACTGCATCAGCCATGAAGATGGTGGCAGAGGCGGCTAGTCAAGCAAAGACCATGCAGCTGGCGTGCCTGTGCCACGAGGTGAGGAGAGGGGTTGAGAGGTGTGGCATCTGGTGACGGTGGTGAAACGAGGGGTTCAATGTGGTGAAACAAGGTGAGGAGAGATTGAGTGCGGTGAAAGTTGGTGAACAGGGTGAAAGATGGGTTGAGTGTGGTGAAACAAGGTGAAGTGAGGGTTGACAGGGGCAGCGGAGAATGCATCGGCGATGAAGATGGTGGCAGAGGCGGCCAGTCAGGCCAAGACCATGCAGCTGGCGTGCCTGTGCCACGAGGTGAGGCATGGTTGAGTGCGGTGAACGGTGGTGAAGAGAGAGTTGAGTGAGGTGGGAAGGTGTGGTGTGCGGTGAAAGGAGGTGCTGAATGCGTTGTGAATGCATCGGCCATGAAGATGGTGGCAGAGGCGGCTAGTCAGGCCAAGACCATGCAGCTGGCGTGCCTGTGCCACGAGGTATGCAGAGGGGTTAAGTGCGGTGATCAGGTGTGGGATGTGGCGAAGGTGGTGAAATGAGGGGTTGAGTGCGGTGAAGAGAGGTGACGTGTGGAGCTGGCATGGACAGCAGAGAACGCATTGGCAAGATGGTGGCAGAGGCGGCGAGTCAGGCCAAGACCATGCAGCTGGCGTGCCTATGCCACGAGGTGAGGGAGGAGTGCGGTGAGGAGGTGTGGCATGTGGTGAAGGTGGTGAAATTCGCAAATCCGCAATATGTGGCCCACACACTCTCATCCATCAGCTTCACGGAAGTCACAGATATGTTGTCCGACCAACGAGCTTCATCCACACTGCATTGCCAACCCACTCACCCCCAATATGTGGCCCATACTCTCTCCTCTCATCTATCCCTTCCCCACATGTCCCACACATCAACCCCCATCAGATCCGCAACCCTCTGAACGGCATCCTCTCCTCGATCAGTTTTATGGAAGGCACTGACATGTCTTCTGACCAGCGGGACCTGCTGCATGCCACCTCGGCCTGCGGGTACGTACATGTGTCTCTCTGCTCAGCCATCCAGTCTTTTGAGTTTTGAGGCGTCTCCTGACTCTCCTCCATCAGCTTCATGGAAGGCACTGAGATGTCATCGGATCAGAGGGACCTGCTGCACGCCACCTCGGGGTGCGGGTATGCATCTCTCTGCCCTGCCTCTCCACTTCTTTTGGGACATCCCAAAACTGTGCTTCATGGAGGGCACTGAGATGTCATCGGATCAGAGGGACCTGCTGCACGCCACCTCGGGGTGCGGGTATGCATCTCTCTGCCCTGCCTCTCCACTTCTTTTGGGACATCCCAAAACTGTGCTTCATGGAGGGCACAGAGATGTCATCAGATCAGAGAGACCTGCTGCACGCTACCTCGGCGTGCGGGTACGTTGTTTGCTAGTCGGGTCACCTGTGAGTCTGTCTGTGCAATGAGCGTGCCACTCTCCTCCATCAGCTTCATAGAGGGCACCAAGATGTCGTCGGATCAGACAGACCTGCTTCACGCCACTTCTGCCTGGGGGCATGTTTTTTTCCGAAAGTGTCTCTCTCCGGCCGGTGGTTGTTTCTTTGAGAATTTTCTAGCTCCGTCTGCTTGAAAACTTTGTGGCTGAATAGGCTGAAAGGGGGAAAGCAGCTGGAGGTGGAGAGGGGAACCTTGCACCGTGATTCACCCCTTGTCACCCCTCTGCAACCCTCATCACCCCTCTGTACTGATCTCCACAGAAAGTACCTAAGGCGTGTGGACAACGCGTTGGATCTGAGCAAGCTAGAGGAGAGCAAGCTGGAGGTGGAGAACGATTTGGCGCCGGGATTCACCCCTCATAACCCCTCTGCATCCCCCGTCATTCCTCTGCACCTGTCCTATACTGTTCTCTTCGTTGAGTGGTGGACAATGTATTGGATCTGAGCAAGCTAGAGGAGGGCAAGCTGGAGGTGGAGAGAGAACCAGGACTGTGATTCACCTGCTGGCACCTTGAATCACTACTTGTCATCCCTCTGCATCTCTCATCACCCCTCTGTACTGTTCTCCACAGCAAGTACCTGCGGAGGGTCGTCGATAATGTGTTGGATCTGAGCAAACTGGAGGAGGGCAAGCTGGAGGTGGAGAGCGAGCCGTTTGAGCTCATTCACGTGGTTGATGCCGTGATAGCCCAGGTGGGTGGATGGGAGGGAGGGTTAGGTGAGGGTGGTATGTCTGCTGAATAGGCCCGATCTCATCACTTTCCTTTCCCTAGCCATGTTACCCCGTCCTTCCTTGCAAGCTGGAGGTGGGGAGCGAGCCGTTTGAGCTCATTCACGTGGTTGATGCAGTGATAGCCCAGGTGGGTGGATGGGAGAGGGTGATGAGCCTTGTTCCACCCCCTTCCCATGCTGCTTTCCCCCTTCTCCCCCCGTCCCCCGAATCCAGGCGACAAGGGTTTGCAGGTGTTCTGCTTGGTGGAACCTCAATGCGCTGATGTGATTGTAAAGGGCGACAAGCACCGCGTGCAGCAGATCGTCGCAAACTGCCCCTTCTCTGCCTCCTGCTTCCCTGCACCTCCCACTTCCTTTTCCCTGTCCCCCTTTCTTCCTTCCTCTCCCTCCTCTGCCTCCTGCTTCCCTGCACCTTACCCTCCCTTTTCCCTTTCCCCACTCCCACAGGAGCATGAGAACGCTAGTGACAAGGGTCTGCAGGTGTTCTGCTCAGTCGAACCGCAGTGTGCCGATGTGATTGTAAAGGGCGACAAGCACCGCGTGCAGCAGATCGTCGCAAACTTCTTCCGTAACGCAGTGGAGTACACCGAGCAGGGCTGGGTCGAGGTGCAGCTCTATAAAGCATCCGGTGAAACAGCTAATAACGAGTACGGCGGAGACGTGCTGGCTGGAAGGCTCATGCGCGGGCAGCAGTCCGGGCAGCGGACCGGGGAGCGGAGCGGGCAGCGGGCAGGGCAGGGCCGAAACGTTTCGGCTGACGGCGGGGAGGAGGAGATGTTTCCGTTTGTGTTCTGTGTGGCGGATTCAGGCCCGGGGTTGAGTGAGGAGCAGCGGCAGCATGTATTTTCGGGCATGGACCCGAGCTTAGCACCGGCCATCTCTAGCGGCGCCTCTGACACTGAATCCCGGTGAGTGCTGCTGCTCTGGTGGGTGCTGGGTGGTGAGTGCTGGGTGGTGGGAGGAGGAGATGTTTCCGTTTGTCTTCTGTGTGGCGGATTCGGGACCGGGGTTGAGTGAAGAGCAGCGGCAGCATGTGTTCTCGGGCATGGACCCGAGCTTAGCACCGGCCATCTCTAGCGGCGCCTCTGACACTGAATCCCGGTGAGTGCTGCTGCTCTGGTGGGTGCTGGGTGGTGAGTGCTGGGTGGTGGGAGGAGGAGATGTTTCCGTTTGTCTTCTGTGTGGCGGATTCGGGACCGGGGTTGAGTGAAGAGCAGCGGCAGCATGTGTTCTCGGGCATGGACCCGAGCTTAGCACCGGCCATCTCTAGTGGCGCTTCCGACACTGAATCCCGGTGAGTGGTTCTTGGATCTATGAACGCTGCTCTATCTTCCTACACTGATTTCCCCCGATTTCCTCCCCCGCCCCTTCTCGTGTCTGGCTCCCTCTCCTGCAACTCTACCCTCCCAAACCCCGTCCCTCCATCTATACATATGTCCTGTCCCCCACACCTCTCCCACCTTTCCCCCATCTTCCCAGGAGCTCTTCAACACCAGCAGGATCAGGCCTGGGCCTCATAGTCAGTCAGAAGCTCGCATCTCTCATGCACGGCACTCTCTCCTGCGACTCTACCTCTCGCAAGGCTCCTCCTTCCGCACTAAGTCTCTTTTTCCTCCGCCCCTATTTGTCTTTCCCTCCCACCTTCCCCCACTCTCCCATGCCTTCCCAGCAGCTCCTCTGCCCCAGCGGGATCAGGCCTGGGGCTGATTGTAAGTCAGAAGCTCGCATCTCTCATGCACGGCACTCTCTCCTGCGACTCTGCCCCCTCCCAAGGCTCCTCCTTCCGCCTCTCCCTCTCGCTCCCCTTCGCCGGCCGGTCCACCCACGCTGACCCTGCTGACGCTGGTGCTGACATGGCGGCGGGCCACGCCAGCCTGGCGCCAGGTGGCATGATGAGCTGTTACCTGAGTAACCGGGTGAAAGGGGTGGTGTATACGTCTGTGGGGGTGTGGAGTAATGCCGAGGAGATAGCAGCTGCACCAGTTGTGCCTCCCTCTCTCTCCAGAAACCTCGCTGCCTCTGTGCCTGCCCCAACTGGCTCCGCTGCTGCTGGTGCTGGTGCTGCTGCTGCTGCTGGGAGGGTGACGGCTGGAATGGCAGGCATGACTCTTACTGGAGCACCCTCGCATGGCCTTTCCCCTGCGGCTACTGGTGCTGCTGGGGCGGGTGCTGCTGGTCTTGCAGCTGCTGCTGCTGCTGCGGCTCGAAGTCCTTTCGGCAGCACAACTACCTACGGTGATGATTCGCTCACGGCTGCTGCTGCTGCTGTCTCTGGCACCGCCCGTTCTGCTTCACTTGCACCTGCTGGTGTTGCTGCTACTACTTCTTCTGCAGCTGCTGCTGCTGCTTCTGTGGCTGCTGCTGCTACGGGGGGAGGAGAGAATGACAGCCGGGTGTTTTCGAGGTTGGAAAGTCAGGGTTCGGAAGAGAGTGCGACCCATGCTGCTGCGGAGGATGCTGACGTGGACGCTGCTGCGCTGGCAGCAATTGTTGAGCTGGAGGCGGCCTATGGTGGCCGGGTCATGGTGCAGGTACTTCGAGAGGTGGTGGATTTCCGGGAAGTTGCGGTCCTGGTGGAAGTTGGTGTGATGAAGGAAGTGGGTGATAATGGAGGCGGGGAAAACAATGATGGGGCTGTGGGAAGTAACGAGATGGCTATAGTGAGTACGCAGCAATGGGGTTCGGCGTTGAGACTTGGGCCGTTGGCTGATGCGTTACGCAGTGCAACGAAAGCGGCGGTTGTAGCGGCCAACCGGACGCTTGTAGCGGCGCAAGCTCGAGGTGGAGGCGTTCATGGCCACGTGGTGTGCTAAGAATTCTGCGATGTGTATTTTGTATAGGCTAATAGTTTTTGTTTTCTGAACGTATATCTTTTGTGCTTGTAATTAGGGCCACTTTGATTGATGTTCGTCCTTTTGTAGTCGTTTACTGTCGCGGATTTGTTCTCTGACTTTGGGTTGACGTGTCATTTGACGCCTAATGTGTTGCCACGTGTTTCGCGAACTCAATCCATGTCACAGCCAGTGTTCGTTCGCTAATCATCCAGTGCGGTGCGGTAAGTTTCGATACGGTACACCGCCTCTTGCGAGCCGAATTGCCTTTTACCGGAATGCATCGAACGTAACCGTGCTGTCAATGTGACAGTCAGCAACATAAACTTGACGGTACCTTGCCAACACCCCCCACTCATCCTCGCGATTTCCCGTCTCGCTTCCCCCTCCTGCCCCCTTATGCCCCCCTATTTTTCCCCCATCCCGCTCGCGCTTTCCCCCCATCTCCCGACAAGGCCGCTCTTACCGCAGACCCGCCTGAAGGGTTTTGGCACTTACAGCTATTTCTACTTCTGTAATTTGATTAGTTTCTGCTGCTTGTTCAGCGTCATTCTGCCTGACGCACATTGTTTCCCCCGTACGATCCGCCGCGTCCGTCGGGTCCGTGCTTCAGCCATGGCTGCCATGGCAACATTGCTCCCCGCGCTTAGCTCCGCCGCGGTTTCCGCCAGTTTCTCCCCCGTCTCGTCGCGGAGCAAGAGCCTCGCTTGTGAGTGACTTAGGTTTCAGGCCCGTCCATTAAACTCGATTGAACAATCATCATTCTAAGACCTGGCAGAGGAAATGGTCGGGTTTTAATAATGGGCCTTCAGTGATCGCGAGAGCAGGGCGAAGATAAAGGTGCCTTGAGCTTCTCCTCCTATGGTTATATGTAGCTCTCCGTCTACCTCGGCATTTCCTGGGTAGCTCAGGTTTAGGCTCAGGCTCAGGCTCAGGTTCAGGCTCGGGCTAGGTAGTTACGTTGAAGTCAGTCCGAACCTCGCTTGTTCTTCCATCACCTTCAGGAAGCAACGAATAGTTTGAGGATTCACGTCACGATGTAGATTAGCGAAGCTTAACGTGCGAACGCTGGCTTACAATGCGGTAAGTCACCGAAGCTAAGCGTGCAACGCATTGAGCTTAGACAGACGCTTTTGCCCTTTTTTGGCTCTGCAAATAGGCGGTGCCAGTAAAGTGGTGAAGCGGTGCAGTGGAAACGTGCGATAGAGAAGATACGGCGGTGTAATCCATGTAAACTGGTCTCGACGTATTCGCTGAGCTCGATTTATGTCTGTGTCGCTTTTGAAAGTTCGCGCAAAAGACTCGTTCGCCCCAGCTCGCTCATCTGTCTGGCTCATCCGCTTTTTTTCATTTCGTAGCTCTATGTTACCCGCCCCTTCGTCGGACGTTCTTCATTGTCAACCACCCTTTTTTTTCTCGGAATGATCGTGTCACTCATGGGTCCAAGTGAATTTCTCACCATGACTCATTCATCCCTCTGTCCTTCCCCTGTCCTCCACTGTCCCTCCTTACCCTCCCTTCACATCCCTCAGTCCTTTCTCTGTCTCTCTCTTCCCGATCCCTCTGAACAACGCATTCTTCATGCGTCTCTTCCCCCCGCCCTCCCCCCTTAACCAAACAAGTCGTCTCACCTAACGACCCTCACTTTGAACTGGTCTCCCGCATTTCCTACCTTCCGCATTCCGCATTCTCACCCTCCCTTCATGGAATCCCAAGCCTCACTGTGCACTCTATCCGCCTCGCCCTAAGCCACTTGCCCCTCTGCCTTAACCTTTCCCGTGTCCTTGTCCCTCCACCTCTTCTCCCCCCATCTCCCCCCCCCCCCCCCTCTCTCTCCTCCCGCAATTCCCACTCCCCCTCTTCTCACCCACCCCGGGGTGTTCCGCACTTTCTCCATGCGCTTTCTCCCCCTCGTTGTCCCTCAGGCCGCAAGCTCCTGTGCCTTTACTCCCCCTCACCTTGCCACTTTCCTTTCCCGTTCATCATTCTCCTTCAACTCTCCCCCTCCTCCCCTCCCCCCCACACCAACCCCCCCTCCCCTCTTTCCTCAGGCGAGCCCCTCACTTTCTCCATGCGCTCTCTCCGCCTCGCTGTCCCTCAGGCCGCCGCCACCACCGCACCAGTGGTCGAGCTGGCAGCTGACGTGGCGGAGGCCACGTCAGCAGTGGAGGAGCTACCGCTACAGTCAGCAGAGGACATCAAGGCCGCGCGGAAGGAGGAGCAGCGGCGCAAGCGATTGGTGCAGAAGAGGAAGCTGAGGAAGAAGGGCAGATGGCCGCCCTCCAAGATGAAGCAGCACCAGAATGTGTAACACTTTTATGATAAACTGTTGAATGTTACAGATGCTGTATTCGAAATGTTGGGAAATGCCTGCCATGTGTGCAAATTGCTATGCCATATGTTACATCCTGCTGTTGACAAAGCAAAGCAAGCAACCCCTGGAAAGATGAAAGGTGCAGTTTAGTGCTTTTTGTAGTGCAGAAGAGGAGCCCTCCACCACAACCCAAATCTTCACTCCTTCCGTTCCGACGGACATTTGGAAGAGAGTCACCGAAACTGAGTGCAATTGAGATGGTTGCCTTGTGTGCACAAGGTTATCAATGTTGTGTATTGTCATGCACTTCGTGTAGTTGCGCTTACGGTATGCTTTGAAGAGATATGATAATTTTTGAAAGTGTAATGAAATGTAACACTGTATTGTGAAAAGGGGTACGTGGCCAACACAGCAAAGGTAGCGCCGAAGCGCTACTCACCCTCTTTTGCCTACAAAAGAGGGACGTGGGGACATTCGTCCCCACCCACGTTTTCATTTTCAAAATTGTAGTTCTAATTTCGTTCTCGTCCACACTGGCGAAGACTCTATCGCTTCCGCGCTTCACTGCCCCGTCAACGCTTCTTAACATTATAATTTTTAAACACATTGATGTTTTCAAAATTGTGTATTGTGAAAGCGAAGCTGCCTGTACCGAATATTTGGCAGCGTCGAAGCGCGCTAAACGCCCTTCTCCAACTACAAAAACCGTGGGTTGGAGTTCATTCCCTCCACCCACGTTTCTCGTTTTTCAACGGCTCAATCAACATTTCCGTTCGAGTAGTTCTTTGTCAAATGTTGTAGCCTATAGTGAGGTTTGTCTTAGGGGGTACAAAACTTAGGGTTAGCTATATGTACCCCAACCAACATCAATGCATCATCCATTCTTCATTCTGACATGGTATCAGTTAGGTTAGGATCCTGTGGGATCCCGTTCCGCCGTTCTCCGTTCGTACCACCCGAGCCTGATCCTAGCTCTCGTTCGTCTCCTTCTCGTTGTTACCGAGCCTAGCGCCGAGCCACGCTCTCGTTCGTATCGTTCCAGCTGTTACCGAGCCTAGCAACGACCCACGCTCTCGTTCGTATCGTTCCAGCTGTTACCCCCCGCCCCCCCGTCGCGTCGCCTTCCCCCCCCTCGAGATGCGCCCGTTCCCGTTCCCCGCTGCTTAGTCCCCTGTTACCTCCCGCTGTCACGCCCGCTGTGGCGTCCGCTCCTCCCCTGTCCCAGAGTACCGCCGAACCCTAATTTGCCTCTCACCTACTGCTGTCCCCTCCCTCTCCGTTCGCGTTCGTTTTCACTATGGCGACTCAGCGTGTCCTTCGTTTCGACGCTGACGGTAGACCTCTTGATTTTTCCGTCTGGCTTCTTCGTGCTCGCCGTCTGTTAGAGAGTCAGGTCCAGGCAGGCGAGACCCTCTGGGCGCACGCTACTGGTGCCCTACCTGCGCCCCCCGACCCTACGCCTTTAGGACCTGCCCCTGACGACGCCGCTAGAGCCCGCTTTGCCACTCAGCGAGCTGACCAGACGGCTTGGACGTCACGTGACGCTGCGGCCTGCATCGCGCTCAGCAGCCTCCTCCCTGAGTCTGAGGAGGTTCACTTCACTCAGGTTCGCACCGCTGCTGAGTACCTCACTGCGATTAAGGCCCGCTACTCTACTCCCGCTGCTGTCTCTCTTGGCCGCCTGTTCCTCCCGTTCCTGTTTCCTGACCTAGCGTCTTTTGAGCGCTCTGCTGACTTGATCGCTCACCTCCGCTCGCTCGACGCTAGTTACCGCGCTGCTTGCACAGAGGCACAGCTTGCACTGCTTCCTCCCCCTATGGCGATTACTATCTATTTCATTGCCACTAGCCTCCCTGACCGCCTTGCCTCCGTTCGCGACGCGCTTCTGCTGAAGCACCCTAGTGAGCTCACCGTCGAGGTCCTTGAGTCTGCACTCAAGGACGTCGAGAGCAACCTTCGCTCGGTAGCCGCTGCCTCTGGTGCTGTGCCCCCCCCACTCTTCCACGGGTGCACAGTCCCGCAGTTACCCACCTTTACTGCCTCACTTGCCACTGCCGCTACTGACGCGACTGCAGCTGCTGTTACGACTGCGTCGCGGTCCCGCGGTAGGAGTGGCAAGAAAGGCGGTTCTGGTGGTGGTAGTGGAGGTGGAGGCGGAGGTAGTGGAGGTGGCGTTGCGCCTGGCGGCGGTGGAGGTTCAGGGCCTGGAGAGGCGCCTCGTGCAGTGACTGGTGACTCCACTGCGCCTGCTGGTGGTGGCGACGCCCGAGTTCGTCAGTCGCCTCCTGTACTTCCTGCCCCGGTTGGTGGAGCAGCGGCGTGGTACCAGGCTCAGCGTCAGCAGCAGCTTCTGCAGCACCAGCAGCCCCTCTCCTCCCAGCAGCCTCAGCAGCAGCAGCGGCAGCAGCTGGCTCCAGGGTCGGGGCTGCGTCAGACCCAGCGCGGTGCTGCTTACACTCCCTGCACCTACCAGGTTCTGACAGGCACTCGTCGTGGCCACCCTTGTGGCCGGTTTCACCCCCCTGGTCAGTGCTTTGCTCAGCTCACTGACACGGTTCGTTTGGTCTACGGGGTTGGTGCTCCTGCCCCTGACTGGCTGCCTCTTGTTCAGCGTTACGGCTCCGCTCTGTGGGGCATGTCTGCTGAGCAGTTAGTTGATCTGATTGGTAATCCCCATGCTATGTATGCTGTTGTTGACTCTAGTGTTTCTGACTCTGTTTACTCTGGTGTTGTTAGCTTAGGTGCTAGCCTTGCTCAGTTGCCTGTTGCTAGTGTAGGTTCTTGTGTAGACTCTAGTCCAGCGGCTACCTCAGAGGACGGTTCGCTGTCGTTCACGCTGGACTCTGGAGCCTCTCACTGCTTCTTTCGTGACAGCACGACACTTACGCCTCTTCCTGCGCCTGTTTCTGTGGCGCTGGCTGATCCCACTTCGGGACCAGTCACCGCGCGTCACACTACCACCTTGCCGTGTCCGGCTGCTCCTTCTGGGTCTCTCACTGGGTTTCACGTCCCCTCGTTCTCCCGGAACTTGGTGGGCGTGCGACCCCTCGTGAGTCAGCACGTGGGTGTGTGGTTTGAGCCTTCTGGAGAGACTGCGGTGTGTGTTGACGGGGACTCTTACCAGCCCCTCGCCACTTTTGCTGCTGAGCCGGGCTCCGGTCTCTACACTCTTCACACTGGCCCGCGCCCTCAGCAGCGACTGCAGCAGCAGCAGCAGCCGCAGCAGCAGCGGCAGCAGCAGCCGCAGCCGCAGCCACAGCCGCCCCTCCTGCCCCCGGCCCCTGTTTTGCCCCCCGTTCGAGTCCTCGCGTCTCACCAGGTTGCTCCGTCCCCCCAGGTAGCTGTGTCTTGTCAGGTTCCTCCGTCTAGTCCGGTCGCTGCGTCGTGCTCCTGTCGGTCGCTTGCCCACCCCACCGTTTTGTGGCACCACCGGTTGGGGCACCCTTCTCCTCCTCGTCTTCGCGCTATGTCTCGTCAGCGTCTTGTCTTAGGTCTCCCGCGTGTCTTGCCGTCGCTGCCGCCGTCCCTTGCACCACCGTGCGGTCCTTGCGTCGAGGGTAGGCTGCGCGCCACCCCTCACTCCTCCTCCCTTCGTCCGGCCACCGAGCCTTTTGAGACGCTGCACTTGGACGTCTGGGGCCCCTCTCCTCGCCCTGGCCCTGAGCGTGAGCGTTTCTTTTTGGTGGTCGTTGACGACTACTCCCGCTACACCACAGTGTTCCCCCTGGCGAGGAAGTCTGAGGTGACTTCTACGCTGATCAGGTGGTTGCTTACCACCCAGGACACTCGTGGTCGTCGTGTCAGCTGTCTCCACTCCGACCGCGGGGGCGAGTTTCGCTCCGGCATTCTCGCTGGATTCTGTCGCGAACAGGGCATTCGTCAGTCTAGGACGCTTCCGGAGTCCCCACAGCAGAATGGGGTTGCTGAGCGTCGCATAGGCCTGGTCATGGAGATTGCCCGCACCTCCTTGACTCACGCCCGTGCCCCCCATTTCCTGTGGCCATACGCGGTCAGGTACGCCGCGCACCAGCTGAACCTCTGGCCACGCGTCTCTCGGCCGGAGGCTTCACCGACCAGTCTTTGGACAGGGTCCCCTGGTGTCGCGTCGAGGTTTCGTGTCTGGGGGTGCTTGGCTCTTGTCCGCGACACCTCCGCGGACAAGCTCTCGCCTCGCGCCGTTCCTTATATGTATCTTCCTTGGTTTCCCTGAGGACTCCTCTGACTTCACCTTTTACCACCCTCCCTCTCACCGGTTCTTTGACTCCCGTGACGTCCGTTTCGAGGAGTCCACCCCCTACTACGTCAGGTACCCCAGTCGAGGTCTCCCGGTCCCTCCCCCCCCTCTCTTCCTGACCGCCGCTCCCCCGCCTGCTCCCCCGGTACAGCCTCCCCCCCCTGGTCCAGCCCCGTCTGGTGTGTCTCAGGCTAGCCCTCCCCCTTCGGTAGCCCCCCCTGTACAGCCTCCCTCCCCACAGTCTTCCTCGCCGCCTCCTGCAGGTGCTCCCTCTCGGGAGGTTGGTCCTGCGACTGTCCCTGTACAGGTCTCTGGTTCTGGGGGTGCTGGAGTTGGAGCTGAGCCGCGGGTTGCAGAGGACTCTTGTCTTCCGGGGGCTGGTACTGGTCGTGCGGAGTCTGGGGGTGCTGGTGCGGAGTCTGGGGGTGCTGCGTCTGGGGGTGAGGGTGTCCCTTCGGTTTCTGGAGAGCCTGGGTCTGGAGCTGGTGTTGGTGCTGCCTCTGGGGGTGGTGTGCTTGGTGCTTCGGAGGTCGACTCTGGGGCTGCCGCTGCCCCGGACACTACTCCTTCCCCCCACCCCTACCCGACCAGGTTCCAGGCTCGTGTTCGCCGTGCTCGTGAGGAGCAGCTGGAGTTGGAGAGAGAGGAGAGAGAGTTGCAGCGGCTCGAGGAGCAGGAGCGACAGCAGCAGGAGCAGCAGCAGGAGCAGCAGCAGGGGCAGCAGCCGCTGGAGCAGCAGCAGCCGCAGCAGCCGCAGCAGCAG